TGGCAATACTAAAGTCAGCACTGGGAATTTGAGATTCAGCCTTGGCAATACCAAAGTAGAATTTGCAACGCTAAAGTAAGTAGTTACTGGGAATCTGAGAGTCAGCCTTGGCAATTTTCTTCAGAAGAATTGGCAATACTAAAGTAAGTACTGTCCCCTCCCAGACCCCCAGGACTATCCCTAAAGAGGGTCCAGCTGACTGGTTAAGAGGGGGGGTTGGTGTAAAGAGGGTCCAACATTACGGGGTCAACAAAAAGCAGGGTAAGCATTTAGCTGACGGGCTCTTAACGGCAACCCCAGGCCTCACGGAGTAGTGGCACCGCCTCGCGGCTCTCGAACAGGAGGGAAACACGAACCCGTGGCCAATTCGCCATGACTCGGAAAAGGATGTCTTGGCACCATCTGCGGCGGGAGTTCTCCATTTGAGTCTGAGTTGGAACACCCCCGAACCACCACCCGCAAAGCACTGAAGCGCCAATCCAAAACTAAGTGGGGGGTGGGGGGGAGGTGGCAGCCGCCTGACGGGCTCGTCAAAGCGGGTGCGCAACACGATCTCACACCTCAAGCGCGCATGTCCTTTGGTTGAAGCGCGCCACGGAAGCCAAGCAGGTTCTGATTTCATCCACCTGAACATCACTCGTCACCCCAAATAATTTCGTCCTTTTCCGGTTCCTCTTCGATGAGTGCGCAATGAAGGGGAGACAAAATGGACACCAACAAGCCGGCGCTCGGGGGCAAGCCCCCGGAACCAATTGAGCCAGGGCGGCGCGAAGCGCAGCCGCTTGACGCAGATCCGGAAAAGCTGGTGGGCATCGATGTCCTGCACCTGGTGGTCTGCTGTTCTTTAACCCATAGGCTGCATATCTTTAGGGCATGTGCTGGCTGTTGAATACTGAAGTGAAATCCCCCACATTGGTCTGGTGGTGGAATGACAAACCACCTGCGAAGATTTTTGGACAGCTCCTTAAAATATGTACCCAAACCTAGGGGAGTGATCCCGGCCGATTGAGCACCGGGATCTAAAAAATCCCGGCGCTAAGGGTGGCTGCGGCTTGAGGGTGCGAACCCCGGAGTCCAGTTTGTCCACCCCAAAAAGTTCCTATGAAGCAGGGACATTTTACCGTCAAGTGAGCTCATCGAGCCGTCACCTGTCGTCCGGATTCTGCGAAGCCCATCCTCCAGATCTTGCGCGAAAGGTTCCACGGGCCATTGGCTTGGATCCTGCGCGGGGATCAGTTGGGATCCCACCCTTGTCGGCCCGGGGTCAGAGAAGGGGCTAGGTTTCGACACAAAGCCCAGTGTTGTTGGCAAGGCAAGTGTTTTCTGCGGGCTTTCTGCAAAGCTGGCACAAAGGGGCCACCGAATCAACTGAGCAATTGGCTGCGCAGGTTGGATAGTCGCCAAAAAATTGATCATCAAGGAGGGGATAATCGAAATTCGCTGAGATCATGGGTCGTGGAGTGGGGCTGATCAGCCACGGCAATGGCTAATTGGACATTCTGTAAGTCTTTGCTGATTCCTAACTGCATGCGGCCAAGTTCTTGACGATAACCTTGGAACCTGCGTACAATATAGTTTCTAAAGATTTTCAATCTAGTTCCAAGGATTTGCCTGATAGTTCCTAAGACGGCCTAAGATTAGCTTTCAAAATTCGTCAAGGAAAAACAAGGTTCCCAGTATAAAGAGGGCCACGGGGTGTCTAATCTATCGACTTGTCTATCTAGCTATGCATCTCTCTCTCACACACTCTCTCTCTCTCTCTCACTCTCTCTTTCTCTCTTTACTACGTCTGCCTGCCCGTTGGTCAATCTATCTATGTGTTTATCTATGTAGTTCGCTCACTCTCTCTTGACTTGTCTACGTGTTTTGTAGTTCTGTCTATGTGCCTCTCGATGTTCCCATCTGTTTGTCCGCCTGTCTAATTCCCATCTACTCGATATCTGTCCTGTCTTGTTGAGACCAGGATCTTTGTTTTCTTCTGGCTTATTAGAGCTAATGTTGAGATAGTTCTGATGACCCTGCTCTCGGAATTGGGGCCTAGGACCTCTCCGTACTTTGCATTCCACACTGATGATGTCTATCGATCCATTTATCCTCGCCGGCCAACTGGCTTCTCTACCTGAGAAGCCTCTCGCTTGTCTCAGTTGTTATATCTATCTATTCGTCCGTTCTCTGCCCGATTTGCCTGCATATACGTATGGATATAGATAGCTGTTTCAGCCACCTTGCTCGTCTATTACCTCACACAGCTGGCTAGCTATCTCTCAATCTGTACATCTAGCCATATGGCCGGCAAAGCGCATCCATCAGCCAGCATGTCATCTAACCTCCTCGAAGCGCCACGTTTGGCGCTGCCAAAAGGTTCATCACAAAAGCGGCGCACGTGTGAATCAGCCGGTGCCAAGTTGGAGAATGAGCCCAAGAACAAATTGGGCCACTCCCCTCAGCAGCTGATGGGAGACGATGGGTGCCACCCCATCGGCGGAAAGCGCTCCACCACCTTGCCAAACGCACTCCCAGGAAAAAAAGAAGCGAGGATCGACATGATCAGTTTGCCCTTCATGGGAAAACGCGGCTGAAAACAGGGGCCCGGATGAGTTAACTCACCCAGGTGTCGAAGTCACGTCATGCGCGCGAGGGACCTAGCATGACTTGACTATCACGCAGGGTGACGCAGGGTCAGCACCAGTTCCATCAAGCTGGTTGGGTGCGGCATCTTTCGACAAAGAATTGTTCAAAAGCCAGTAAACCAAGATTCGGACCGCTCTCACTGGAAGAAGGAGGCCCAAGCTTTTGAATAGCTCTGTGGAGGTTGTTTGAATGCAAAGCCAAGGTGGTAGCTCATGAAGCGTGGCGCGGCATCCATGGCGACCCACGGCATGGAACAGTCCCCACTGCTTCAGCTGGGGGCCCGTAAATCCCTTGAGGAGGCATGTCAATAGCCGGGGTGCGTCGAAGCCGGTGCGGCGAAGATCCATGGGGCTTCTCCTCTCTGATCCCGGCCATGAGTTCCTTCGTTGCTAGTGGGCATCCGCCCTTCCTTCTCGGCCCCGGAAGGCGTGTCAAACCTGGGCCTCTGGCCAGTGCTCGAGAAAAGCGCAGGCTCAATATCCCAGGCAAGAACGCGAGGTACCGCTCCATCGCGGCCCGGGCCTTAGCCTTGGCCTCCGCGACGCACGAGCTGAAAGGTTCCAAGCCAAGCAAGGAAAGAATGGGCTCCACTTGGGCCAACATGTTAGCCCTTACAAAGAATTAAGACAGCGCACACCTACGGCTACACTGTAGCCCGGCTTGCTGCGTCCCACCTGCTTGTCTATCTGTCCATCTCCCTACCCTACCTATCGCATTTCTATCTTTACGCCTAAGCAGTCGCATCCCGAAAAACGTTCTCCGAGCCAGTGTGGATTGAAGCCATGAAGTGGAACACGCGACCCTGCTGAGGAACAGATTCTGCGCGCCATGCTTCAAAGCGCAGCGCCCTGGCACTAAATTCACCGCGCAACACTCCAAAGTACCGTGCCTGCCACGAACATCAACGCTCCTGCGAGTCGTGCTCCAAAGTGCCGCGCCTGTCACACAATTTGGCGCGAAACCCTACGATTACCTGTGCTCCAAAGACTATTTACACTACATCACATCACATCACATCCCATCACTACATGCATAGGTAGATACGCGCAGCACATTACATTCATCACATCACATCACACCCCGCCACATCACATCACATTGCACGTTTGCATGAAGACACACCCAAGCTGCAGAAACAGTCAGGTGCCACTCCGACTTGGTACGCCATTAAGGCAACCCCGCAGCAAAGGCAAGCCGGGCACATCAATGCACCCAAGACTTGTCTCAACGTATGTATGCAACTTAGTGTGATGTGATGTGGTGTGATGTTATGAAACGTAGTGGAGTGTAAATGCAATGTACGGCCTTCCCCCTGGACTCGCCACAGTGCGTACTTGAAGTTTGCAGAATTTTCTTCCTCTACGCCGGGTTCGCTCGAGGCGTAGTATTGCGTTGGGCTGGGCCTGGTCCCAAGGTTGTTCCCTTGGAGCCGTCTCACTTGCCAACAGACACTCAGAGAGCACATTTTAGGCGCTTATGTTTGGCACCTGCCTCAAAGCATCAAGCTTGGGCCAAAGCTTGTGTCAGTCCAGAGCTTTGCCTCACGCGTCGCTGGGTTGGATTTTGAATGGGTGCTTGCACTACATGGAATGGCGAGTCACGGCCATGTCATTGCCAGTGGTTTCCCGACCCTTCGTTGACTTGCTATGCTGCTCTACTCCCTGCCATTCGGAACCTGAGTTTGTTGCCTGCTGGTGTTGAGGGATTGCCAAGATCATGCCCGTGCACATGTTTTGGTTGCACTCTTCCCCGAGCTCAGCTAAGTCGCCTGGTCAGGTTTGAAACTTGCCAGTCCTGACCATCGTAGGACGCCGTGTGCAAGCCAACTCCCAGTCTGCCCTTTGCCTGGCCGTTGGCCTCAGAGTTGCCCCGGCATTCCTTCTGCTTGCACGGGCAGGTGCGTCAGGTCAGTGGTCGATAACCATAACTTTTACCTCACCAAAGCCATGCGTAGCCATGGTTACTTGCATTTTCCTGACGTACCCGCTCGCCCAATGTGTGGACAACTGCCCCGCCTTGGTCGCGGTGGCGAAGTCAGCCGCGCTGGCATCCCTTGGGGTAATCCTCATGGCACTGACCCCTGACGCAGTTTCAAAGTCAGTGCCTTACAGTATCTAAAGTGTCTGCATATGGCGTCCTCAAGGGGAACCGCGGATATGGCCTGGTGCAACACCAATACAATTCTGCAAATGCCAAATGACAAAGAAGGAATGGGCTTGACAGAAACATGCGCTTCCATGTCTCACTGTTCTGCCTCCCCGGCCGCAGTCAGTTGGGTGCATTGGAAATCGACAATCTATGTAAACAATGACTCCTGCCAGCACATCGCAAAAAATGCACTCAAGTACCACTTCATAAAAGCAAATCAAGCACCTCAACGAACAAGAAGGCTGACAGGATGCAGTCATATGACCTATGTGTACGCAAAAAGGCCACTGGGGCAACCCAGCAGCTGCTTTGCAGCAAGCAACAAATATTTTAGCTTGCAGCTTGCACTGCGCTAAGTCCCGTTCGGGATGGCCCTCAAAGCAAATCAGATCGCGCTTGTTCTCAAACCTCAGTACGAGGGCTGAACTGGCTCTTGCGGTGCATCTGCCAGCGCTTCCTCACCGCTGACATACTGCACGGGATGGTCCGGGCCAACCAGGAACTGCTGAACCACTTCAGCTGGGTGTTCTTCGCGCCTCGTCTCCATCTGAACATGCTCCTCCCGCACGCTGCCCTGCGTCGTCTGTCCAACCTGGGGGACTTCCACCACGTTCTCCACGACCTGAACGAAAGGCACCTCCACAATCTTCTCAATTGTTTGCACTTGTGGCACGGCCACCTGCTTCACAACCGGCACATCGACGATCTTCTCGGTGGTTTCTATCACATTGACCTCCACAGGCTTCTCGACCGGCACTTGCACTGGAACGCTCCTGTGCTTCTGCACAGGGATGTGGACGTGAGTGTCCACGTATTCCTCAAGTCGATCCAGCACGCAACGCAAAGCAAAATAAAACCTTCAGCGAGCGAACTGGCGGACACACTGACAACCATAATTACCAGAGTTTGGGTCAACCCTGCGTTGTTTACACCCTGCAGGTCTCTATTGCTTGAACTATTTTTTAATGGAGTCTCTTTTGGTGCTTAAGGGTTTGGATGTTAAGCCAATTTTGACAAACCCTGCCAAGTACCCTCTGTCCAATAATGATGGATGTGCATCAGCGGCTTCAAGACGACTTCTACGTTCTGAGAAAGACCCCTCTGATTCCGTTGGTGGCAACAGGGCCAGGTTAACCCCCAAAACGACCTGCGTTCTACCTAGGAGTTCTTGGCCAGACAAGACTTGGCTTGCCAAGCTTCCACCTGTGGCACCTCGACCGTCTTCTCCACAGTTTCGACCATTGGTATTTGGACCTGCTTCTGGATCGGGATGTGCACCACCTTGTCCACGTACTGCACTTGTGGAATGTCCACTGACTTCTGCACGGTCTGCACCATGGGCACACGAACTTGCTTTTGAATGGGCACTTCCACCACCTGATCTTCGTACTGGACTTGCGGGATCTGAACCTCCCTCTGCACCTTCTGCACCATGGGCACGTGAACGTGGCGCTCAACAGGGATGTGCACAACCTCATCCTCGTACTGGATCTGAGGCACCTCCACCTGCTTCTGAACAGTCTGCACCATCGGCACATGAACCTGCCCGCAGGACCAGGTTCAAAATAATTACCACTTGGCGAAACTTTAGCAAAAACATGTAAGTATAGTGTAAGATTCATCCAAAAAGAAAAACTGGCCGAGCACAGCATCCCGCCTGCTTCTGGACAGGAATCTCAATCACCTGATCCTGGTACTCAACCTGAGGCACATCCACAATCTTCTGCACCTTCTGGACAAGGGGCACCTGCACGTGCTTCTGCACAGGGACCTCCACAACCTGGTCCTCGTACTCAACCTGTGGCACTGTCACACTCTTCTGCACCTTCTGGATCAAGGGCACGCGCACGTGCTTCTGCACAGGGACCTCCACAACCTGGTCCTCGTACTCAATCTGCGGCACTTCCACCGTCTTCTGCACCTTTTGGATCAAAGGCACGCGAACATGCTTCTGCACAGGGACCTCCACAACCTGGTCCTCATACTCAATCTGAGGTACGTCCACGCTCTTCTGTACCGTCTGGATGACTGGCACGTGCACTTGCTTCTGGATTGGCACCTCCACAACCTGATCCTCGTACTCAATCTGCGGCACTTCCACTGTCTTCTGCACCTTCTGGATCAAGGGCACCTGGACGTGCTTCTGCACGGGGACTTCCACCACCTGGTCCTCGTACTCGATCTGAGGCACATCCACACTTTTCTGAACCTTCTGAACCATTGGTACGCGCACTTGCTTCTGAACGGGCACTTCAACGACTTGATCCTCGTATTCAATCTGAGGTACGTCCACGCTCCTTTGCACCTTCTGGACCATGGGCACACGAACTTGCTTTTGAATGGGAATGTCAACATGCTCATCGACATACTCAATCTGTGGCACCTGCACCTCCTTCTGCTGCTTCACAGCCACGGGGACCTGCCTGTGACGGACAACTGGCACATCCACAAACTCGTCTATGTACTGAATCTGCGGAATCTCGACCTCCTGTGTCACGATCTCATCGCGCGGCACGTGCTGCACAACCACCCTGGGCACGTGCTGCACTTGCTCCTGCACCACGGGCCTCCTCCTTTGAACCACCTTGTGCACAACCTTCGGCTTGACAACCTCGACAGTCTCGATTTGATGTTGCACCACTCTGTCCACGACCGTGTTCAGCACCTTGGGAACACGGACGGTTCTTTCCTCCACCTGAATTTTGGGCACCTCAATGGTTTTTTCCACAACGATGGGCTTCGGAACCTCGACCATGAGATCTACTGGGTTGTGCACAATGCGCTCCACCTTGTTCACCACCGGGACGTGGACCACCTGTTCAACATGTTGCTCCAATGGCACGTCCACGACCTCTTCGACGTGGAAGTGGTGTTGCCGCTCATGTGTGATAACCTTTGGCACATGCACAACTTGTTCCTGGATCATCGGCACATGCACCTCCACAACTTCTTCCACGTGCTGATGCGAGACTCGCTCATGTTCAATCACTTTGGGAACATGCACAACCTCCTCCTGAGTCATGGGCACTGGGACCTCCACTGTCTGCTCTACATGCTGTTGCCTCACACGTGTCTGAGTGACAACCTTGGGCACGTGCACAACCTCTTCTTGCGTCATAGGCACGGGCACCTCCACGGTTTGTTCCACGTGTTGGTGCTGGCGGCGAGTTTGCGTCATAATCTTTGGCACATGGACAGTCTCCTCTTGAGTCATGGGCACAGGAACTTCAATTGTCTGCTCGACGTGCTGGTGTTGAACACGGGTGTGAGTCACAGTCTTGGGGACGTGCACCACTTCCTCCTCTGTCATGTGCACAGGGATCTCCACCGTCTGTTCCACATGCTGCTGCTGAACGCGAGTGTGGGTCACAGTCTTGGGGACGTGCACCACTTCCTCCTCTGTCATGTGCACTGGGATCTCCACCACCTGTTCCACTTGCTGGTGCTGAACACGCGTGCGGGTTACAGTCTTGGGGACATGCACAACTTCCTCCTCCGTCATGTGCACAGGGATTTCCACCACCTGTTCCACTTGCTGGTGCAGAACGCGAGTGCGGGTCACAGTCTTGGGCACGTGAACCACTTCCTCCTTCTGCATGGGAACTGGGACTTCCACCACTTGCTCCACATGTTGCTGCTGCACACGGGTGTGTGTGATAATCTTCGGCACGTGCACGACCTCTTCTTGCGTCATATGAACAGGAATTTCGACAATCTGCTCAACCGGCTGCTGGCGCATGCGTGTGTGAGTAATGACCTTTGGGACATGGACCACTTCCTCCTGCGTCATCGGAACAGGCACCTCAACCAACTGCTCCACATGATGCTGCTGCACCCGTTGCTGCGTCATCACCTTCGGGACATGCACAACTTCCTCCTGCGTCATTGGAACTGGTATCTCAACTTGCTCTTCAACGTGTCGGTGATATTGGCGTGTCTGTGTAAGGGACACTGGGACATGCACAATCTCTTCCACAACCTGTGGAATCGGCACATCCACAACCTGCTCCACGGAACGATGCTGAACACGCTTTTGCTCTGTGATTTTTGGCACATGCACAACCTGCTGTACCGTTCTGGTGACTTCCTGCTGCACCACTTGTGGGACCTCCACCACCTTCTGCACAATCTGCACTTCTGGCACCTCTTGCTCTTCCACAACCTCCTGGACCGTGGGTATCTCCACGATCTTTTGCATCAACTGGCCAGCCACAACCTCTTCTTGACGCTGCACGGACACCTGTGGCTGGGCGTCAATTTCGGTGTTCAATCCAGCAATGTACTCCGCCTCCCCCTGAGTCCGCTGGGCGTGAATCTCAGGACGCGTCTCAGACATGATGAATGCCTTGTCTGGGTCCGGGATGCTCTCAACCGGCACCTTGACCTGCGTAGTTTCGCCCATGATTGTCTGCGCCCGTGATGTCTTCGGCTGCGGGGCATGCGTGTTGGTGGATACAGGCGCTGGCTCGCCAAGGGTTGTGTTGCCAATTGTTGTGTCCATGGGCTCCTGAGCTGGTGCTCCGCCGGAGGGGCCACCGTAAGTCTCAACTGGTGTTTGGGTCAGTGGCGCGCCATATGTGATTGGCTGCGGATCAGTGGGAGCACCGTAGGTGCCTTGTCCATAGGTGGGAGGTGCACCATAGGTGAGCGGTGCTCCGTAGGTGACGGGCTGCGGCCCAGTGGTTGGCGCAGCGTACATGGGAGGTGCTCCGTAGGCGACAGGCTGCCCTTCAGTGGTTGGCGCAGCGTAGGTTGGAGGTGCTGCATAGGTGGCAAGCTGCGGCTCTGTGGTTGGCGCAGCGTAGGTCGGAGGTGCTGCATAGGTGGCAGGCTGCGGCTCTGTGATTGGCGCAGCGTAGGTTGGAGGTGCTGCATAGGTGGCTGGCTGCGGCTCTGTGGTTGGTGCAGCGTAGGTGGGAGGCGCCGCATAGGTGGCAGGTGCAGCATAAGTGGGAGGTGCTGCGTAGGTGGCTGGCTGCGACTCTGCATAAGCTCCAGGTTGAGACTGTGGCATGGGCGCGCCATACACGGGCTGCCCATATGTAGGTGGAGCAGAATACACTGGAGCTTGGCTCATGGGTTGCGCAGAAGGTGGGACTGCGACTGGCTCCATCAGCATCATTGGGCCGCCCATGGTCGAAGCGGTCGGCTGTGGGTAGGCCATCGGAGCTCCGTATGTCACCGAACCTGGGGCCATGGCATAGGTCGGCATGGGCATGGTGCCTGCCGCCATGGGCATGGTGCCGGCAGGCACGGGCATGGCCTGGGTTGGCATCGGCATGGTGCCGGTTGCCACAGGCATGCCTGTAGCCGCGGGCATGCCTCCACCCTGTGCCATGAGAGCGGCAAACTCCTCCCGCGAGATCACGCCATCCTGGTTCGCGTCCATCTGCTCGAAGGACGCCATGATTGCCAAACAAGCGTGCTTTGAACTGCTGAGCCAAAAGCTACAGCTGCGAAAAGCAAGTGCCGCGCAAATCAATTGCAGCACGTATCTTGGGGGTGAGCCACATTGCCAAAACAACCTTTGGACTCCTGCAATGCTTCAGGCTCCATGGGCTTGCTTTTGCCCCGGGGCGTGACAGGCGCCTATTGAGGTGGTCGACCACATGAAAGGCGCACCGCTTCTTCATCTTCGCCACGATGGTGAACTGAGTCAAGAGAATCGATGCATGCATCGAGCTTCAACTGAAGTGAGGCCTCACCTGCACCGACTGGAAGAGAGCCGGAATTTCAATGTGGCTCGGCTCCAACCTGAGGTGGATTTACTGGGCCCCTTCTCCAGCGGCGAGGAATTCTGGTTTCTCAAAGATACTTGTGGACTTGTGGGGGGTCCTTTTTAACCACGAATTTCGAGAGTGCTTTTGAGGATGTCACATTGATGGACCATTTTTTCCCAACGACATGATGGCCCTGAGCACTTTGTCTAACTAAGATATTCCTGTCTGCTTCATTGAAACAGGTTCTGACTTTCCCTCCCCTTGTGAAGGCTGGTATCCCTGTTCTCCCTGCCCGGCTCGCGGGGCTCCGTAGCGCAAATGCGGGCAAACTGCGGCGCGCGAGAATTTGCAAGTAGATGCGGGTCCGCCGCATGATAAGGCTCCTGCTTGTCATAGTTGCCTTGCTCACATCTGAGCTCGAACTTTCCAGGGTGCAGCACCTGAGAGGAACAAGCAAGAGCTACGGGGCAATGGCCCCAGGCGGAAACGGATCTTCCCACACCCGTCCCACACATGCCTTCCGTTAGTGGGTACAAGGCACTTCTTGCGTCCGACCCTCTGCGTCAGTCCACAAGACCAGCTCTTCCTCTCATGCATCGAGCGCGGCTGACGGCGTCAAACGCATTGCCTGCTTGCCCAGGGCGCTGCATACTTCCCCTTGCAACATTCAAAGACTTCAAAGACAACTAACTTGAAATTGCTCCAAGAGATGATGTTCAAAACCACAAAAAGAGGGGAAGCCTAGGAAGCCCTTCTTCAACTGCACCGGTCCTTGCAGGTGCTGTGGATGACTCGAAAGGTGGCGTGGTCTAAGGGGAGAAGCCTGAGCAGAGACAACCTTGTGCTGAAAGCAGAAACAAAAGAGAGACCCTGAGACTCTTTCTGGGTCTGCCTCTCTTCGATCCAGTGTTGCAAATGCACCACAACTGTCGGTAGAGTCTTGGCGCTTGAGGCCACAGCTCGTCCTTTGGACCGCCTGCGCGGCTTTTCAAACCGGGCAGCAGCTGGAAATGGTCCTTGTGGTGGACATCAGGACCAACGGTTGACTTGTATGTCCTTGCCCGACCTTTTTCCAACGCCTGGGCCAGAAGAAGGACCCCTGCTATGTTTGATCCAGGTCCGGGACCCAGTGTAGGGGACTTTGTCCACCAACCATTTTCTGGGCTGTATTCAAACCTCCTGCTAAACGTTTAACTTTTCGGTGAAATGGAAACCCGCACCAAACCAACTCAACAGCTAAAAAGCTAAGGGACCAAATGGCTGGGAACCAAGTTTTGGGCGTTTCCCCTTAAAACTCACGCCTTGCCCGCCCTTGCTGTTGATGGCACTTCGGACTTCCAGCGGCAGCGCGCCGTCTTTGCCTGGCAAGCAGGGGGCGGCACGAGCTGGCGGGGTGGATGGGCCAACTCCCGATGCAGCGATGGCATGCAGATGCAAAACTCTCAAACCGGCCTGGCATTGTTCTCGCGCTTCGTGCTGTGGGGTGTCATTTGCCGACACATAGGGGAATCTATGTGTTTCATAAAGCCTGTCAGCTTGGCGACTGATTTGCAATGACTGGGGTTGATTTAAAACAAAGTTGCAGGCCATCAACATGCAGATCAAGCATATGAACTCAGCTGACAGGCTCAACTCATCAGACATTGTCAGTAGTGTGCAAAAAGCCGTCGAGGCGGTCAGGAAAACAGGCTGCCTTGCAACGGAAATGTGGCAGTTTGCACTGCCCCAAGATCCCATTCGGGATGGCCCTTGCGGGTCAACTTGCGGGTCAAATAACCGCATAGTTCTCAAACCTCAGTACGCGGGCTGAACTGGCTCTTGCGGTGCATCTGCCTGCGCTTCCTCACCGCTGACATACTGCACGGGATGGTCCGGGCCAACCAGGAACTGCTGAACCACTTCAGCTGGGTGTTCTTCGCGCCTAGTCTCCATCTGAACATGCTCCTCCCGCACGCTGCCCTGCGTCGTCTGTCCAACCTTGGGGACTTCCACCACCTTCTCCACGACCTGAACGAAAGGCACCTCCACAATCTTCTCAATTGTTTGCACTTGTGGCACGGCCACCTGCTTCACAACCGGCACATCGACGATCTTCTCGGTGGTTTCTACCACATTGACCTCCACAGGCTTCTCGACCGGCACTTGCACTGGAACGCTCCTGTGCTTCTGCACGGGGATGTGGACGTGAGTGTCCACGTACTCCTCAAACTGTCAAGCTTATCCAGTCGCAAAAAATTGAACAAAAACACGGATGCGAGTGAACGAGTCGCAGACAAATGGATCATGCTGAGTAGGAACTGAACAAAGATTTCATGACCTGGCTTGACTTGCCAAGCTTCGACCTGTGGCACCTCCACCGTCTTCTCCACAGTTTCAACCATTGGTATTTGGACCTGCTTCTGGATCGGGATGTGCACCACCTTGTCCACGTACTGCACTTGTGGAATGTCCACTGACTTCTGCACGGTCTGCACCATGGGCACACGAACTTGCTTTTGAATGGGCACTTCCACCACCTGATCTTCGTACTGGACTTGCGGGATCTGAACCTCCCTCTGCACCTTCTGCACCATGGGCACGTGAACGTGGCGCTCAACAGGGATGTGCACAACCTCATCCTCGTACTGGATCTGAGGCACCTCCACCTGCTTCTGAACAGTCTGCACCATCGGCACATGAACCTAGCCGCAGGTCCACAGCACAAATTACCACTTCGCGAAACTTCAGGCAATATTTAATAATATGTAAGTATAGTATACAATTCAATTAGATCCAAACAACAAAAAACTGGCCGAGCACAGCATCCCGCCTGTTTCTGGACAGGAATCTCAATCACCTGATCCTGGTACTCAACCTGAGGCACATCCACAATCTTCTGCACCTTCTGGACAAGGGGCACCTGCACGTGCTTCTGCACAGGAACCTCCACAACCTGGTCCTCGTACTCAACCTGTGGCACCATCACACTCCTCTGCACCTTCTGGACAAGGGGCACCTGCACGTGCTTCTGCACAGGGACCTCCACAACCTGGTCCTCGTACTCAACCTGTGGCACTGTCACACTCTTCTGCACCTTCTGGATCAAGGGCACGCGCACGTGCTTCTGCACAGGGACCTCCACAACCTGGTCCTCGTACTCAATCTGTGGCACTTCCACACTCTTCTGCACCTTCTGGATGAGGGGCACGCGCACGTGCTTCTGCACAGGGACCTCCACCACCTGGTCCTCGTACTCAATCTGAGGTACGTCCACGCTCTTCTGCACCTTCTGTATGACGGGCACGTGCACTTGCTTTTGGATTGGCACCTCCACAACCTGGTCCTCATACTGGATTTGGGGCACTTTGACTGTCTTTTGCACCGTCTGGATCATGGGCACCTGGACGTGCTTCTGCACGGGGACTTCCACCACCTGGTCCTCGTACTCGATCTGAGGCACATCCACACTTTTCTGAACCTTCTGAACCATTGGTACGCGCACTTGCTTCTGAACGGGGACTTCAACGACTTGATCCTCGTATTCAATCTGAGGTACGTCCACGCTCCTTTGCACCTTCTGGACCATGGGCACACGAACTTGCTTTTGAATGGGAATGTCAACATGCTCATCGACATACTCAATCTGTGGTACCTGCACCTCCTTCTGCTGCTTCACAGCCACGGGGACCTGCCTGTGACGGACAACTGGCACATCCACAAACTCGTCTATGTACTGAATCTGCGGAATCTCGACCTCCTGTGTCACGATCTCATCGCGCGGCACGTGCTGCACAACCACCCTGGGCACGTGCTGCACTTGCTCCTGCACCACGGGCCTCCTCCTTTGAACCACCTTGTGCACAACCTTCGGCTTGACAACCTCGACAGTCTCGATTTGATGTTGCACCACTCTGTCCACGACCGTGTTCAGCACCTTGGGAACACGGACGGTTCTTTCCTCCACCTGAATTTTGGGCACCTCAATGGTTTTTTCCACAACGATGGGCTTCGGAACCTCGACCATGAGATCGACTGGGTTGTGCACGATGCGCTCCACCTTGTGCACCACCGGGACGTGGACCACCTGTTCAACATGTTGCTCCAATGGCACGTCCACGACCTCTTCGACGTGGAAGTGGTGTTGCCGCTCATGTGTGATAACCTTTGGCACATGCACAACTTGCTCCTGGATCATCGGCACATGCACCTCCACAACTTCTTCCACGTGCTGATGCGAGACTCGCTCATGTTCAATCACTTTGGGAACATGCACAACCTCCTCCTGAGTCATGGGCACTGGGACCTCCACTGTCTGCTCTACATGCTGTTGCCTCACACGTGTCTGAGTGACGACCTTGGGCACGTGCACAACCTCTTCTTGCGTCATGGGCACGGGAACCTCCACGGTTTGTTCCACGTGTTGGTGCTGGCGGCGAGTTTGCGTCATAATCTTTGGCACGTGGACAGTCTCCTCTTGAGTCATGGGCACAGGAACTTCAACTGTCTGCTCGACGTGCTGGTGCTGAACACGGGTGTGAGTCACAGTCTTGGGGACGTGCACCACTTCCTCCTCTGTCATGTGCACGGGAATCTCCACCGTCTGTTCCACATGCTGCTGCTGAACGCGGGTGTGGGTCACAGTCTTGGGGACGTGCACCACTTCCTCCTCGGTCATGTGCACTGGGATCTCCACCACCTGTTCCACTTGCTGGTGCTGAACGCGCGTGTGGGTCACAGTCTGGGGGACGTGCACCACTTCCTCCTCTGTCATGTGCACAGGGATCTCCACCGTCTGTTCCACATGCTGGTGCTGAACGCGGGTGCGGGTCATGGTTTTGGGGATGTGCACCACTTCCTCCTCTGTCATGTGCACTGGGATCTCCACCACCTGTTCCACTTGCTGGTGCTGAACGCGGGTGCGGGTCACAGTCTTGGGCACGTGCACCACTTCCTCCTGCTGCATGGGAATTGGGACTTCCACCACTTGCTCCACGTGTTGCTGCTGCACACGGGTGTGTACGATTATCTCCGGCACGTGCACGACCTCCTCTTGCGTCATATGAACAGGAATTTCGACAATCTGCTCAACCGGCTGCTGGCGCACGCGTGTGTGAGTAATGACCTTTGGGACATGGACCACTTCCTCCTGCGTCATCGGAACAGGCACCTCAACCAACTGCTCCACATGATGCTGCTGCACCCGTTGCTGCGTCATCACCTTCGGGACATGCACAACTTCCTCCTGCGTCATTGGAACTGGTATCTCAACTTGCTCTTCAACGTGTCGGTGATATTGGCGTGTCTGTGTAAGGGACACTGGGACATGCACAATCTCTTCCACAACCTGTGGAATCGGCACATCCACAACCTGCTCCACGGAACGATGCTGAACACGCTTTTGCTCTGTGATTTTTGGCACATGCACAACCTGCTGTACCGTTCTGGTGACTTCCTGCTGCACCACTTGTGGGACCTCCACCACCTTCTGCACAATCTGCACTTCTGGCACCTCTTGCTCTTCCACAACCTCCTGGACCGTGGGTATCTCCACGATCTTTTGCATCAACTGGCCGGCCACAACCTCTTCTTGGCGCTGCACGGACACCTGTGGCTGGGCGTCAATTTCGGTGTTCAATCCAGCAATGTACTCCGCCTCCCCCTGAGTCCGCTGGGCGTGAATCTCAGGACGCGTCTCAGACATGATGAATGCCTTGTCTGGGTCCGGGATGCTCTCAACCGGCACCTTGACCTGCGTAGTTTCGCCCATGATTGTCTGCGCCCGTGATGTCTTCGGCTGCGGGGCATGCGTATTGGTGGATACAGGCGCTGGCTCGCCAAGGGTTGTGTTGCCAATTGTTGTGTCCATGGGCTCCTGAGCTGGTGCTCCGCCGGAGGGGCCACCGTAAGTCTCAACTGGTGCTTGGGTCAGTGGCGCGCCATATGTGATTGGCTGCGGATCAGTGGGAGCACCATAGGTGCCTTGTCCATAGGTGGGAGGTGCACCATAGGTGAGTGGTGCTCCGTAGGTGACGGGCTGCGGCCCAGTGGTTGGCGCAGCGTACATGGGAGGTGCTCCGTAGGCGACAGGCTGCCCTTCAGTGGTTGGTGCAGCGTAGGTTGGAGGTGCTGCATAGGTGGCAAGCTGCGGCTCTGTGGTTGGCGCAGCGTAGGTCGGAGGTGCTGCATAGGTGGCAGGCTGCGGCTCTGTGATTGGCGCAGCATAGGTTGGAGGTGCTGCATAGGTGGCAGGCTGCGGCTCTGTGGTTGGTGCAGCGTAGGTGGGAGGCGCCGCATAGGTGGCAGGTGCAGCATATGTGGGAGGTGCTGCGTAGGTGGCTGGCTGCGACTCTGCATAAGCTCCAGGTTGAGACTGTGGCATGGGCGCGCCATACACGGGCTGCCCATATGTAGGTGGAGCAGAATACACTGGAGCTTGGCTCATGGGTTGCGCAGAAGGTGGGACTGCGACTGGCTCCATCAGCATCATTGGGCCGCCCATGGTCGAAGCGGTCGGCTGTGGGTAGGCCATCGGAGCTCCGTATGTCACCGAACCTGGGGCCGTGGCATAGGTCGGCATGGGCATGGTGCCTGCCGCCATGGGCATGGTGCCGGCAGGCACGGGTATGGCCTGGGTTGGCATCGGCATGGTGCCGGTTGCCACAGGCATGCCTGTAGCCACGGGCATGCCTTCACCCTGTGCCATGAGAGCGGCAAACTCCTCCCGCGAGATCACGCCATCCTGGTTCGCGTCCATCTGCTCGAAGGACGCCATGTGAGTTCAACTGTGCACACTACACGATGTAGCTGCGTGGTTCGCGTAGTCTGAGCCACTTGGCAGCTTCGCGACATGCGGTGCACAATGCAAGCATTTCAGGCAACATGCTCCCGCCAATGACGTGCTAAAAAACTCCTAGCATCACGGCGTGGGCACGGAAAAGGAGAGTAAAGGAGAAGTTTTGCCACGGCACGAGTGATGTCAGCTGAAAATCCGGCCAGGGACGCGCACTCCTTGAGGCTGTTCTTTGCACAGCCTCGGCTGGCGGAACTCCATCAGCACTTGCTGAGATTCACGGCATGCTACCGCGCTTTCTGAAAGGCCGCGGCATCTGGAAGGAAGCTGGAATGCGGCTGAAATCCTGCATCCGAGTCCAGAGCAAAAAAAAAGCTGCACCAAAGCGTGGCGGTCGTGGACCCCCCTGCAAAAAGTGTTTTTTTGTTTTTTTAACTTTTTTGGGGTTTAGTGTGAAAACCGCGCGATTTCAACCAAAAAGTTAAAGTCTAAAGATCCGTTGCCCAATAGCAGTCCGGAAAGTTGCCATCTCCTGAAGCCGGGCGCAAAGCTCCAAGGCCTTGGGCCACTTCCTGGACGAGTTGTGGCAAAGCGGGTCGGGTCCCTCCCGTTTAGGTCAAAGGTCTTGGTAGGGTCACCCTGTCTCGCACCTTTCTCAAATGAAGGGCGACATCAAAAAACTCCTGTGACCATCTTTGCTCTGGAACCTTTAGGCCCTCTACAACCGAAGGGTGTCAAACGATGGCGAGGCGCGCGTCACGCAAACCATGCCAGGCCAGCTTGCAGGCAACTTTCGAGAAGAGCGTCTTGGCACCGCAGGACACGGCCTCCTGGTCGTCAAATCCCGCTGGGCTCATGGGCTTTTGGGGTAGGTTGATCCAAAAGGCAACCCAACGCACCAAGCAAAGCAACAATATGAATAGGTTGGGACTTCCGCTTTTCGCCCCCCTAAGCAAAACACCTGCAAACGGGCTTGGTCCCAGAGGGGAGGAAAAAAAGACAAAAAAAACACCTGGAAGTGCAAAGGGCCGCTTGGAAGACCTGGACCCCGAAAAGCGAGAATGGGAACGATTGTAGTACGGTCGCTTGGTGATGTCCTATCCTTTCCACTGAGGGCAGTATTTGTGGTGCCTCGGAATCGGACGGGAAGATGCCCTTTGCTCCTGCCCGAAAACTTGCCGCCCGTGACGCGGATGCCACCTTGATGCGACCGGCAATCGAGCGGGCCCATTGCAAAACCCAAGCTGATCTTCGGTTCCTCACTGATGCATTGGCCCGCACACTGAAGGCTTTCCCTGCAATCCACCGCTTCCTTGCTTGGAATCACTGCCTTCAAGCCAGGCTACTTCAAGCCTCAAAAACTCAATGAAACTATTCGCAGAACAAGATGGCCAATGATGTTTCGGGCTTTGCTCACATGCATGCGACCCATGCACACCATCAACACCATACCAGGCCTCGCGCGTTGTTTTCACTGGGAAACTTTGGCTTTCGTGCAAGCAAGCTACTTAGCAGCTACTTGTGAGACTCCGGCGCAGGTCCCTTGATTGCCTGACCTTTGGTCAAAGCATGGACCAAACGAACCTGAGGTCTCCGAAGCTCTTGTGCCAAAAACAAAACGAGCCCAAAGGGGCCACTTCAGCTGTGACTGGTCCTAATGTCGACCTCTCCCAAAGGGGGGTCCCATTAAACAAAGCCTTGTTTCACGAGCAACGCGCAATATTACCATGTATCAATCCTGGGTCAACAAGCGCAACCAAGCAACAACCAAAAATGCACTACTTGCAGATTCTTCGGCCCATGTTCTCAGGCCGTCTCAGGTGTCCCGTTGCGTCCAGCTGGTTGGAAAAGGATGAGATCCACTCAGTTTGGTTCGAGCATCAATTACCGGAATCCACCTTCCAAAATGACACCCGGAGGGTTTCCGGCGTTTGACTTCCCCGGAAGTCACGGAGTCCACCTCATGGCCTCCAAGGCCTTCCTCACAGACGCCCAGTCCGCGCCCAAAGTCTTTCCCGCGAGCCCCAGCTTCTGAGCTTCCAGGGCCACGGCCGTGGCCACATTCAAGCTCACCTCCTGGACCCGAATCGGCTTCCCTCCATGAGCTTTGGAGTTCAATTCCGGTGTAAGGATTTACCAGCCAAGAGTTCCATTCCCCAAACCAACCCAAACCACAAACTAAAAAATGAATGGCCGAAAGAAATGCCCGGGCGAAAAGGCACAGGGGAAACACAAGCACAAAGGGCAATGAAACGTGTTTGGGGTTATTTTTTGGAATCCAAAGGGAGGAGGCCGCCCTGCCGTGGACGTCCTCCCATTTTGGAGACAAACCCCATTTGTTGTAGTTGTTTTCCAGTTTTTTCAATGCATCAGCGGGGTCAAGCTGCCAATCCTGGGTGTGGGGGATCCCAATATGGGTGACCCATCCCAAAATAGCCTCAAAAAGCTGACACGCCCGTGCTGAAAAGGGCCATGTAAAGATGTTGTGTGCACAGCCGTGGTCAAAACCTGACAGTTTTGGGTCATGGGCATGGTTCCTTTGCAAGCAACCCTTGTATCGAAAACGGGAAGGGTTGATCACTATCAGAAGCCCCATGTAGCAGTTCTTATCACCATGTCACACGTTGTTGCTAATGCTTGGCTATTGTGGCCTTTGCTCGGGCCCTGCCCCACCCACTACTACTCCATGTGTGTGAAACACGCATAGGGAAAGCGTGGTGCTACACCCCAGCCCCCCAACTGGGGACTGGCCGACTGGCCGACTGGCCGACGGGTCGGAGGGCGGGATCCTGGATGCGGTCGCGCTTGGGCACCACCATGTCCAAGGCCATCTCGCTGTCGTCCAGACTGGCGGCCACTGCCTCGGCGGCGGCCAGGAAGAGGCGCTCGGGGATGGAAGCGCTCTGGCAGCAAACGGCGCCAAAGGACATCCCCGGGAAGATGTAGACGTTGTTCACCTGAGAACTTCACCCCAGAGTAAACGCCAAGCAAAACCCGGCCGTCAATCGAGCAAAAATGTGCCCGCCCCCATCACCCTGCAGAGCACCCCAAACAGCACCCCCCAAGACACCCAGCCGTCAATCTTTCCGAAAACCAACCAGCACCCCAAACAGAATCCCAAACCACCACCTAAGCTGCATGCCCCCTTGCACCCTACCGTCAAGATGCAAACACGCGCCTGCACCGTCGCCTGCATGCCCGAGCGTCAATATCGCAAAAATGCGCCCGCACCGTCACCAGCACCTCAAACAGCTCCCCACAAACTGCATCCCAAAGCACCGTCAGCACCAGCACCCCCAAACTGCATTCCCCCCTGCGTCCTACCGTCAACATCAAAAATGCGTGCGCACCGTCCCCCCCCCAAAAAAAAAAAAAAAACAGCACCTGCACCGGCACCCCAAACTGACTTTCCCCTCTTTGTTAGAAGTTAGAACCCCTGTAGCTATCTGGGGAACAAAAACACTTGTATACATATATATATATATATATGTGTGTGTGTGCGTGTGTGCATTTATTTATTTATGTCTGGGTAGAGGGAAAAAAAGAGAGAGAGAGAGAGAGAGAGAGAGAGAGAGAGAGAGAGAGAGAGAGAGAGAGATCTCTCTCTCACAGAAAGGATTACTGCCCGTACTTTTGGACGTTGCTTGGGAATTGGTTGTCAAGCTTTGTTAACCCTGGATTCAGGTCAACCTTGGCTTCGTTCCCCCGAAAAGGGGAAGGCATCCCTCAAAATTGCGAGATGTAGGTGTTGTTGACCTGGGATACTGCTTGGGCTTAAGCTGTTTGGCCCCGGCGTGAAAGGGGAACCTAAATGATGACGTTTTGGGTCATGGGCGTGTCTTTTGACCATAGCGCGCCTGGAGTCAGTCATAATGTCGACCCCGGATAAACCAACTAAGCGGATAGTTTCATGGCGTGGGATTGTGCTGACTCCTTTTGTAGAAAACAAAAGGTCACCCAATTTCCCGAATAATGGAGGGATGCCTCGAAAATGGGGCAACCCCCCATGAATCAACCAGGATGAGCCGACCAGGTTCCAATGAGATTATCCAGTTGGAGGGGTCAACTGGGTTCCCTGTTGGTTGTGTCAAGCAGCCCAAACGATCCAGTGAGCCCTGTTCTCAACAATGCAGCGATCGCCGATTTGGCTAGAAGGAGAGGGTCACTTTTGGCTTGCGTCAAGCAACCTAGAAAGAGGTGCCGCCATCTTCGAAATGGAATTCCTTTGACTTCCTTTGAACCCCCAAAAAGGCACTGTTTTTCAAACCGCACCTGCCCTGGTGCAAAGGTCTTACCATTGATCTCCACCGGTGCAAACCACGTGCCCGAGCCGTAGATGACTTTGCCCTGCGACCAGGAGTAGGCATCGCCAGCTGTGAGTTCTGCCTGGGTCTGCGAGGCTGAAACAACCAGACCCTGGCCCCCCGGGTCAAGGAAGCCGGGTGCTTAGACAAATAAACAAACCAGAACAAACCATCCCCTCTTGGGTGGACAGCTATGGCCTTGCACACCCTGCCTGGCTCTTGGGATTGGAGAGCGCAAACACCACCGGCCGATCCGTCACCTAGGATTGATGGTTGCAAAATGCAATATTGAATAACCCACCGCTGGCCCCGGAAGTGGTTGTTTAGGCATGTTGAAAAGCCAGGTACCCAGCAACATGATCAGATTTGTGTTTTTAAGGGGGTGTTTTTCTTCTTGGGTAGAGGAAGGAATCGTTTGCCCCTGCCTTCATCAGCGCCTCCACCATGGGTTGGGTGAAGCAATTGGGCGCCACCCCGACGGCACCAACCACGCAGGTCGGCTGCACGTGCTCCACCAACGTCACCAAGTTCTTGGAGTCGAAGGTGGGCTCACCCACCTGGCGCGAAAGCGTGGCCGTTTTGCGCCGCAACCGGACCCTGGCCTCGTTGAAGGAACCAAGAGGTTGCGAATAGGTGCTTAGACCATGGGGCCCAGGGGCTTGACCCGGTCAGCGTTGCCTGCGACCTGCGCTTTTCTGTGTGCCCCCGTGCTTCTCTGGGGGTTCCGCCAGCCTCCTGGATTAAACATTGAACGCTTCTGGATTAAACCGTCCAAACAGTAAAAGTTGTGTATGAACAATTGCCGCGCCACCCTGGCAGGATCCCTTTGGGCCTTTTGTTGTGAAGGGAACTCGAGCGAAAACGTCCCTTGGGCGCCTGGGCGAAGGCCTTCTGCTCCTCGTTGCGGAAGCTGCCGCTGGCCCCGTCGGCCGAACGCCAGATCAGGCCCCGGGAGTTGGTGACGAAGATCGAGCTCAGAGGGACACCGGCCTGAAACCCCAAAACTTGAGAAAAGCCTGAAAGAGTTTCGCCAACGGGGCTTCGTGGACCAAAAGCTGGGTCAGAGCCCTTTCAAGTGGGCTCGAAGGCTCATCCGGTGCCGGAAACATGATCAAGAATTGCGGACAAGTCTTTGGCCAGCTGCCCAAGCTGCCAAAACAAGACTGCAGAGCCCTTGAACAATGCACACTAAACCACTTCGAGAACCCCACTTTGGCACCCTTTGACTTGCTGATGTTTGGCCCATTCATCGCAAGTTCGGAATGGGTCAAAAAATGACCCTCTTTGGGTTGGTGAGTTTTCCAACTCCGGTGGGGAACCCAACAGAAGGGAACTTCAAGCTTTTTCTTACCCAACAAAGGCAACCATGCGAATTGTTTCGAAAGGGGCTCCTTTTCTTCATGTGAACACGTAGGTTGTCGGAATAGATCGTTGACCAAGGCAGATTGGGCACATTTCTCGTTTCGCCATGCTTAAACCATTGTGCGAACAAGTCTGCTGTTGTTCCCCCTCTGGAGGCGGCCAAAGTCAAATGTTGCACCCAACCCCGGCAGATTCCCTTCTGGCTTTTGGTCGTGCGGGAAAATTTGGAGGGGGACCTTGTTGGGCAAGTGCTTCCAGGCGCGAGCAAATACCCCCGCGCTTTTTGTGCCTCCTCGTTCAGCAGCCGCATCAGCCCAATGTTGGCGGAGCCCGCCCCGTGGAAGAGGAACTTCTGCTGGGTGAGGCTTCCCCGCATGGAAGGGCACCTCCAAACCATCGGGAAAACCGCGGTTTTTGGACGCCCAGGCCCTGGCTCTTGGACACGACCCTTGGCTCTTGGGAACACGCCCCAATTTTTTTTGTCTTGGGCCACCAAAACGAGAACCAAAGCAACAGCAAGCCGGCTGGCCAACTCTACGTCTGCCAACATGCTCGTGGCTTAGGGCGATTCCGCCAAGTTTGCCATACCTCCAGGAGGAACCCTGCACTTGTTGTGAGGAAAACCCGGAAAATTGGCCCAATGAGGTAGCCCAACAAAGACCTCGAAAGGATGCCCCGTAAGTCAACACCCCAAGCCTCAAAAATGCCAATGTGTTGCCACATTTTAGGCATAAGAGGACCCTCTTCTAGGATACCTTCCCTACCACCTCTAATTTCCCCTCCAGCACGGCGACCTCAGGCCTCCCAAAAACAACGCCACACCCCCGCTTCCCTTGCGCGCCTGGGATCCCGCAGTCGCATGGCGCCCAGCAGTGCAGCGAGCGCCACTGCAGCTGTGCCCTGGATGTCGTCCTGAGAACTCAACATGCTTCTGCACAGAGGGGAAAAACATATCTATACTTTGTATTTCTTAATATATGTATTTATACGTATACCGTATATATACACTAACTTGTTTGGTGCATATCATTTTGGAGATCATCTGTACGGACCAGGAGCTGGAAAACCAAATGTCTGGGGGGTCAATTCCCGATCGGTTTTCCCATAGATCTTTTCCAAAACCTAGCTGTTTGTTCGCGCTCCGGCCCTGGACAATTGCAAACAAAGGTTGTCTTCACAAGACTTGGGGTGTGGCACTTCCCTTTAGTTTCCTTTTGGTTTCCCTTTGGTGTTCCCTTGCTGTCCCTTTGGCTTTAACTGCCCCACAATTGGTACCCTTCAAAAAAAGGCGCCCTCAAAGAATCATTGAATAATGAATCGTTTTTGGGGTGCCACACTCGCCTTCAAAGGAAATGCATTTCATTCGAAATCTCTCACATTACATTTCTCAAGACTCAAGCAAGGTCTTTGAACATGACATTTGTCCCTTCGTGGCTGGCTGCTCTTGAGGAATGGTAGCTCAGCAAAATCGAACTTATCACTTTGCGATACGCACAAAAAGAAGTGGCCGGAGAAGGGCTTGGCAAAAAAAAATACTGCATCACCTTGCGGTTTTCCTTGGAGACCAAGCACCCAAACCAAAGTTCTTGTAGTCAAAAAAATACATTTCCCTGATGGCTTCGACAGTATGGAAATCAACAAACATAAACTAGCCCCGCAATCATGCAATTGACAAAATTATCAATTCCCTCGTGGCTGCTCTTAGAACAAAAAGCCAGAAGCAAGTTTTTGAAGGCACATCCATCCTCTGTGAGGTTCAGAAAAAAAGAACTCACCACATGATGATCAGCCACTTTTATACATGATTGTCTTCGGAAACTCACAAGATTCATCCGGCTATGTTGTGCCTTTTTCATTGCAGATAGGTTTAGCTCGTTTATAAGGGGCACCTGCAGGAAGCCATCGAATGAGGAGAGCTTCCCATAAACCAAAAAAAACACGTGGAGCGCCCAGCGTCGTTGTAGGTGACGAACTTGTCCCGGAACTCCGCGAGCAGAGGGAAGGCGTCGTTGGAGTTGAAGTCCTCAAACTGAAGCAGGCACCGCGGCCCGAAGAGGTCCGTGGCCGCTTCCATGAACTCCTGAAGCGAACTCGTGGTTTTGTTTGGGCTGTGTTTGGGGCATCGATTTCGGAGGGCATCCTTTTTGGGGAATGATTTGAAGGGAGACAGCTGCTTTGGAAGGGCTATGAGTCTATGAGACTTGCAACCACACCTGTGGCAGCACCTTCCCAGTTACGAAATCAAAAGAAAATGTGTCACCATCCTGTTCTTCCCACTCCTGAATGACGTTCCCTTCCCCATAGTAGGCCGAGTTCACAACTGTGCCCGCCGGGGACTTGTGGGTGACCCGGCCCTGCTTTGTGCCGGTGTAGAGGGGATGGTCCCGGATCACCAGGTGATCCGTGTTCCCCTCACACCCCGAGCAACCCGCGTCCTGGGACAAGTCGCATGGGCCCGGCAAAAAGGGACCACTGGCTGCTGCTCGAAAGGGTGACGTTTGCAAGATCACCCTAAAAATTGCGGTTCAAAGGGAAAACCCCCCAAAAAAAGAAGAAGGAAATGGTGGGCTAAAGTCTGGCAATGCATCAATGATCAGCGGTATGGTGCGAGCGGGGTTGAAGCCCGCACACACCGTGTAGAGGTCCAGCTTGCCGATTGGAATCCCCATCCCCCAGGCGCCCAGGTCGCCCAAGCCAAGGATCCGGCCCCCATCAGAGAAGACGATGCAGTCGCACAGGGGCTTGCCCGAGCCATCCTTCTCCAGCTCAGCCTCCGCATACTCGCGCAAGACTGCCTTGAAGTTTCCTCGATCCGAGATCCGCAAGTAGCAGCCTCGCGAAAGTTTCTGCCCACAAGAACCCTAGGGCGATCTCAAAAGGGCTTGAAAAGGGGAAGTGTCCCTTGAGTACTTGAGCCAATTGGGTTGCAACCCCCGCTCTTCGATTCAGAAACGAACCCAGCCTCGGCTGTACAGGGGCATCTTGCCAAACTTCTGGCAGGCCTCGCCAACTGTGGGCGTGTACACTGCTGGGAGGAGCTTCGAGGGCTGCGCGGAAATGGTGGCAAAGTACAGCCGGGGGTTCCTATCATACAGCTTCCGCATGTAGGCATAAGTCCACCTCACTTGCAACCCCAAAACCCGGAAAATCGGGTGACCAAACCCGGAACCACTGCAAAGTAGACCAAAAAGCTTGACCTTTCGGAACCTTGGCCAAACATGGGTATAAGTCCAAATGGGCACCCCAAGCGGGTGCTTCTTTCTTTTCTTTGCTTTCCCTTTCTTGCATCCAAAAAAGAACAATTGGCCTCCCGAAGCCTTTGAGAACCCAAGCTAGAGGATTCCCCCGGTCTGATGAGACCAAACGGTTGATTCGCCTGCAAGCGAGGCACAGGTCATGCCCCAAGGACATCAGCGCGCTGACTTCCTTCAGCGCTTCCTCCACTGTGGTGGCTTTGCACATGCCGACCAGCATGCTTTTCAGCTCCCTGAGATCCTGTTGCTCGTTCCAGGCCTGACAGGGGTCCAAGCTGGGTGTTTGTCAGGAGATGGATTCTTTGCTCGACATGGTTGGCGTGAGGAACTACACGTCCGCCAGCTATTTTTTAAGGTGATGTCTGTTCAATAGTCATGTTGTGTCTCTTGTTGAGGAGTTCCCTGCCCGCGCTACAGAAGAAAGAGGGAGCCACGTGGGGTTCCCTCATTGTGAGAACCCATTGCCGCATGTGGGGCTTACTTTGAATTGGCCCCAAAGTTGATGTCGAAAGTCTGAAGCTTTGGAGAGGCCCAGAGACTTGCCCCTGCCTCAAGTCCACCCCTCTCCACCACGGAATGGGCGAGAGACAGTGTCCGCTGGGGCTTCGAGAAGATCTGGTCGAAGAACAGGCTCGTGCGGAGCACCTGACCAAGGCTGGGATCTGAGCATGTCACTATATGGCTGTGGCTCAAAAAACCGGTACCAAAATGGAACCCTGGTAAGTGGACACATGGACCAAAACCTGCGCAACCCCTCCTGTCTAACTTTGAGCCACACCCATATCAGGCAAACCTTCATTGGTGGAGCCCGGTGCTTTGGTGAACCCCTGGTTCTTGCAGAGGGCACAGGGGAAGCTACCCCCCTAACTTCCAAACCGAACTAAACCACCAATTAGAGGGAAGCTGAGTATAGTTCGCCCGGAAATGACCTTCATCGGTTACCGGGTTCGCTCCAGCGCGCTTTTAGGACAAATTTCAATGGCGACGGCTTCCATTCCCCAGGCCAAATCCCAAAGGCTCTGGGCGTTGACGGTATGGTGCGGTTTGTTTTGCACATGCCTTGCGCATACTCGCAACTGGGCACGTGCTTTCTCGCGGTAGCCGCTACCGGTTGCAGAAACAACCCCAAACCAGCAGTGCCAAAAACCTGCCAATGTATGGTCTACCAGCATGGTGCCAAATGCTTGTTTTTACAAACCCCACTAAAACCCCAAGCAGAAACAAAAATACGGGGTAGAAGAACCCCTTTTTCGAAGATGGCCACCAACTTTGCCGCACGGTCGCGCGGCCGCAGGGCCGCTGTGTTGAGCGAATGTTCCCCCCCGCCTCATCGGTGGCCACGCTGCTGGCTTGGCGCAGCAGGTACTGCACCGAGGCGTCGTCCACCCCGCAGCTCTTCAGCACGGTGGCGAGCTCCGTGCCTGGGGCAGACGCTGAAGACTCGTGGGATGCAGTTTGCTTTGGGAGCAAAATGGTGGGCAAAGCGACTTGAGAGACGGACCGAAAGCCAGCACTATGCCATGTGCCACAGGTGCCAACACTGCCCTTTCACCAGCCTAGTTGCGAGCCAGGAACATTGAAATAGCAAGTACAAGCAAACGGCAGTGCATGCGTCTGGGCAATGTCTAGCAGCAGCAAGAGCCAGAACTTGGAAAGGTGGTTAGTAATTATGGATCAGTAACCCACTTAAGGCTCTTATCGACCACCCAAACCCTTAGTGAGCACTTACAAGCTAAGTTTCTGGAAGAAAACTCCTTGTTCCCACTCCAAGGCGCAGGTGATGGACTCGCCCACCGTCTGCTGAAAAGCCTCGCGGACTGCCTGCATCTCGACGAGCGCCATGCGGAGACGGTCTCAATAAAATGTCGGCGGAGACACAGGCAAATGGCCATACAGGCTGACCAAGCCTTCAAAATGGGAACCGTGCAAAAGAGGAGCCCCCAACAAGCCAGCAGAAAATGACGCGCCATTTTCTAGGCCCAACTTCTTAGGGCACCATCCCTCATGAACCAAATGCATGTCCAACTGTGGCGCGGGCTCGTCTCGCATCACCCGAACCTCTAGCGCGTAGAGCGTCGGGACATCCAGAACCTCAACCTCCGCGGGAGAATTTCACTTTTCCGACCCCCCCCCCCCCCCTCCCGTGTTATTTCAACTTTACTCAACCTGAAAGACGGGAGGTGATGGCTTACCTCTGAAGCTGGGTATTTTTTTTTGAGTTTTATTTATTTTTAACGAAAGACCTTGGTCCACATTCCCATAACAAGGGTGGGTACGGATTTGGTCATTGGGGCCCGGCGCCCCCGCTGCCATATACTGCGTAGTCTAGGTTGCTTTTTTGGAAATTATCTTGCAGGGGTAACTGGTTCGAACCAAACCGAAACCCAGTAGCAGAATCTACCTATGTTCATCCAAACAGACGGAACAAGGACACCTTGCTTTCGGGGCTGCTCTTTGCCTTCGGCTGAACCCGAGAGGCCTGGATGGCCTCTTCGAAGAACTCATCGATATTCGCTTTCAGAGCTAAGGCCTTCTGCAAGTACAACTCCTATCGCACCCGACTCCCGGAACAATTGGAACCGGATGGACTTACATTGCGCCGGCACCTGGGATGGATGAAACCCGAAAAAGAGTGGCCAATAAACCGCCAGGCCAGCTGGTGCGGAGCGCGTATCGCCTCCCCACGTGCCAGCGCGCCAGGCGCGCGTTGCGCGCCGTCCTCCTCCAGCCGCACTGAGCACGACTGCTTCGCGACGCCAGCACAACGCTCAATCTGAACGTAGAAGGCGGCCTCAGCACCACTCAGCCCAACCCATCTTTTCACAACCGCCTGTTGCTTTCCCTTTTTCAGGCTCCAGGATATGATTGCTTAAACCTATTTTGCGTCACCCTGCCCCCATCACTTTACCATGTTCGCAGTCGCTTCCCTAGTTGCTGGCAACTGGCGGAAGGGGCCCCAAAACTGAATTCGGAGATCATCCAAGATTTGCAGGTAACATGAGCCCCAACACTGGAGCTCACAGTAAGGCCCTAGGGCCCCAGCACCAGCCCAATGGCCTCAGCCCGGGCAGAGCGGGCCACTACCAGCTCGGTACGGGGATCCTCTCAAGTAGACCCCCCCCTGGTTGATCAACCGCTTTACTGCTTCAAACTCCCAAAGCCCAGAAGCAAGTCCGTGAAACCAAACCACAACATGTGTTTCTATATAAGCCTTCTTGAAAAGAGCCCGGCCAACAAGAATTTGTGCCGGCAAAAGATTCTCAACACTAAACCAACACTAAACCAACACTAACCTAATACTAGACCAATTCTTAGCCACTGCGAAACCAGTGGCTTAAGCAGCACTAAGCAACACTAAGCCAATACTACTGAGAGAGGACCGAAGAGGACCAAAGAGAAACTGAAGAGGACTGAAGAGAAACAAAGAGGACCGAAGGTTTACTAAAGAGATAACTAGCACAAAGAACACGGAGCAATACAAACCCATCCCTCACCCATACTAAACCAGTACTGAACCAGCACTAAGGCAGCCTAAGCAATACTATCCAATGCTAATTGATTCTAAGCCAGTTCTAAGCCAATACTAGACCAATACTAAACCAGCACTAAGGCAGCACTCAGCCATACTCCACCACACCAGGCAACACTAAACCAATAGCAAACAGATTCTACCCTGTTGGGGGACCTTTTATAAATCAGTGACCCACATTAACCATGGTTACAACCAACTTGGTCCCCACCATGGCAAACGGGTGATAGCCATGGTTGATACGTAGTGGCCTGACGTACCTGCCGTTTTAGGCATTGGTTCTACTCCTTCAACTCGGCTGAGCGCCTGGCCCCCATCAAACTCTCGACGAGGAGTGGATGTTGACTGCGCTGCCTGCGCCCTGCCGCTCTAGAGTTCCTAGCTTTGTTGGTAACGGAGGATGAAGGAAAACAAAAAGGCAAAGGGAAACGGGTAAGGGGAATAGGCTTCAAGGAAAAAGAACCATCAGAGCCAACACGGAAGCGCCCAAGACCCCTTGAGAAGACTTGTTCCATTTACACCACGGCCTTCCACCGGAGCTTCCATGTGCTGGCCTGAAAAAGGGGTAGGAGCGCAGGACTAATTAGCAAAGCCAAATGGGTCGTTTACTTTCATTCTTGGGGGAATGGATAAAAGCCGGCGGGCCTGGCCGTTCGTTAAATCGGCACCTGAAACCGTCGGCTCCACAAAACGGCCAGCAGACTGCCCTGCCTGGTTCCTGAGCCCGTTCTCTTTGCGGCGCCTTTGGAGCCTGCAGAGAATCTCGGCCGGGGGGTTGATTCACTTTTTGCCCGCTCGTAACGTGGATCCCGGCCCAAAGTCTCCAACTGAGCCTCGCAAGCCTTGGCATAGTGGTAAACAACGCTGTTTCTTGCAGCCCCCTGCTAAAAATGAACAGTCCAAAGGAACGAAGAAGAACAGTGAAGAGAGACAAAGCCAAGGAATACAAGTCACGCCCTCCAGCCTCCAGGTCTCACTGAACCTCAGCTCCAAACTGAAGAAGCGCCGAAGCTCGGCTAAGACTCAAGGCCGGGACCGGACATCAGTTTTTCACGGCCATGGCCAGAAAGGAAGGAGCAATGGAGCCGTGTCTTTGGCCTGAAGATCGCATGTCTTCGTCAAAGACAGTTGGCCTGAAGATGGTGTTTCTTTGTCCAGTTTGCTCTTGCTTGCTCCGTGCCACTCTGCAGTTCATGGTGTGGCCCAAGCAATTTGAAGTGTCACCAGGCTTTGAAAGAGATGACATGCAAAACAGCATTAGCTTGAATAACTCGCAATCGCAGAAAAGAGGCCTGCTGCCGGAATGAGTGCTAACACATGCGGGGCTGCCAAAAAAACGAGCGCGTTCATGTTTGGACCCTAGTGCCATTGCGCGCCGCCTGCAAAGGTTGTTCCGAAGTCGGCAGTTTTGTCAACCCCCCGCATGACAAAGGCGCTTTGTCTTTCTCCGCAAGCAGTGATACAAGTTCAACACACGTCTCCCGCAATTCTTGTCCCCGCTCGCAGGCTGGGTATAGAACCGCAGCCGTGAGAATTCTACGCAGATCGGCTGGTCGCTTCCCAAATGCGGACACAAGAATATCTTGCGGAAACAGGGGGGCTCACACCCCCTGCCGCCTGAAGCTAGAAGCATCATGCCATTCAGCTTTGGGAACAAAACACAGAGTTAAGGGAGGCCTCTGGAGTGCGGAAACCTCTGCCCATGCAGATGGAACAGCCAGCCCCTGCTTTAATTCCACCCGGTCCAGGCTGGCAGATCTCCAAATCGCGGCCGCTTTGCAGCAGGCTTGTGCTTTGCCACTCAGCGCATTTGCCAAACCATCTTTGGGACCGAGTTCGACGTTCTTTTGTTAACCTTGGCTGCAGGTTTTATCTGCGGAACTAATACTACCATTTAAGCCGAAGTTTAAAAAACAAGGATGATGCTAGCCCATGGGACATGAGAAGATCAGTGCACTCTGGCTTTGGCGGGAAGTTCAGTGAGTCTCCCAATCCCAAATTGACCACACACAACTGAGGATATGTTGACCGAACTCCAGGTGGCTCCTGCACTTGCACCTGCCCAGAACCACAGGGCTAAGGCTGCAACAGTTGGCAGCCAAGCATGGCCCAGATGCACGATCCTCCATCGAAAGGCCATCCAAGACAGTACTCAAACTTTTGATCTCCTCAGCCCCTCTGAGGGAGTGTCCAACATTCCGGGGGCCCTTGTGAAAAGCGGACAAGCACGCACGCAAACAAAACCCGACACAACACACAAACCTACATGCTCACAGAATTCGTCCAAATGGCTTCCTAGGCCCCAGGCGTTGGGAAACATGCAGCAGCGCGGCGATGCCTGCAGGCTGCCTGGCACGGCTCGCTCGCGGCTCCCGTCCTTCGCTCGGCCAGTCGGCTCGTTTCGAGGCGCGCCTCGACGGACTTGACCCACTGGAAAGCGCGGCGCCTGTCTGCAGCTTGTTGACCCCATATTGATCAACCCCGGTTTGTTCATAGCGTCCCGGAAACATGTGGGGACTCAGATTTGAGGGGAAAACCACTGGGGTCCACATTAAATGGGGAAGCGCATGGAGCCTCATGACTCATGTAGGTCAACCCCCGCCTTGGCTGCTCTGCCAAGGCCCGTTGCCAGAGAGCATGGCACCTGAAGCGCCGCTTTCTTGGGCCAGACCCATGAGATCGCCGCGGCCTGTGCCATTGCCACCGGCGGGGGGGCCATGCGGCTCACCCTGGCGCAAAGCTTCTGAGCGCCGGGGGGAGGGGCGGACGGGGTCAGATTTTGATTGGACCCTGAGGGCCATTTCTTTGAGGATACTCCAACCACCGAGCTGTCCTCAGATCTGCTAAAAGTGTAGCTTGTGGCCTGAATCTGGAAACCCAACCACTTTTTTCCACCTAAAACGCAGATCTCAAAACCTCAGGAACACCGGATGGCGAGCCACCAAGACCATTCCAAACTCAGAGCTCAGCGCCAGGCATCGGCGCCCTCGTGGGCGAAGGGCATCTGTGCAACGTCACCGCTGAGGCACCTCAGCGGAAGCCGAACTGCTGGACTCATTGGGGTCGCGCATGAACCACTAAACAACTCAAGTCAAACAACAAGGGGGGCGGGGGGGGGCGGGGGGGGGGGGGGGGGGGCGGGACGTTTGGTTTGATGCTGCAATGCATAAATCCGGGCTCATGGCTCCATAAAAGGAGAAAAAGCGCAGTCGGATTCCATGCTTACAAAAGCCGCTGCCGAGGTCCCGGCTGAGCATCTGGCGCCCCTGAGGCACCAAAAAAAAGCAAGGAATTCCTGGCACACCTACTGCATAAGCCGAACCTGAAGATCCTGAAGGCCCCAAACTCAATGGCTGTCTGAAACCTCTCGTATGGTTGGCTTTGCTGTTTCCTTGTCGCACGTTCAAATCCCAAAAAGGGCACCTACTCAAGGAAAATAGCTGTATGCAGCAGACTCAAAGCCGATCCTGGTCCAAGCTAATGCTGAATTGGAGGGAGATGAATTCAATTGCAGGCCCTTGGGTGGATATCATTTGTCGATGTCCCCTACAAAATGCCACTCTGACCCATTAAAGTGCCATCTTGAAACTTCACCCTCTAAATAGTGGATTCAAGGAAAATCACCGGGACCCAAAAGTAGTTTTGAGAACGGACCCCTCAAACATGCTACCACTTTGAGGGACCCAGCCGCCAATTTCCCATCCCATCCGCCTCCACACGAGGCGAAATGGCTGCCATGGTCGCGCGGCTCGCGGGCATGGCGGGCGCCAGCAAGCTGCGCCCCAGGCGCCCCAGTGTAACAGTACTCGCCGGAATGCTCTTTTTCGGCACCTGAGGGGGCTGGGCCTTCAGCCTTGGGCAAACTGTTTTTCTCAAGACTGTTGTACAAAACCTCTCGGCTTCCCCAACAGGTCAGCGGGAAGTTTCTGCACCCCGCCTTCTCAAGCACGTGGCTGTGCTGTGCCGGCGCCACAGGCATGGGGGGGTTGGTCTGCGCCGCGCGGGCATTTGCGCGCGGCGCGTCCTTCTCCGGCTTTGCCTCCAGGAAGGGCTCGTTGGGCTGCGGCAAGCAGCCAAACCACATCCTGTCCGAAAAACAACAAAGGATCAGCTTTTCGGCTAGGAAAATCGGAGGCCGCCGGATTCCTTTTAAAATTGGCCAAAAAAAGCAGCTAGGACCGAGGTGCCATGCCTGTTCAAGTGCTCCCGCAGCTTCTTGCAGCCCCAAGGGTCAACCTCATAGTCCAACGGGGCCTCGGGTGTCAATTTTGACTCAGCTTCATGCATTTGCAAATGCCCTCAGGAAAGCTTTGCAGAACCTTCTTGGGTTCGTAGGGCTCCGGGAGCCTTTTTCGGGTGCCAGCGTGATGCCACCGCTGTATCTGCGCCAAGGGGCGCCAGACTGCTGATGGTACCACCAATCCAGGTCCTGGCTGCAATGCGAGAAAGCTCCGCCAGCCTTGCGATCGCTCTCCTCCGGCTCAGCCAGCTCGGTACCGTACAGCATGCTGTGTCGCTGAAGCCAGTCCAAGGATCCCAGCCAGCCTTAGCCAGAGAAGTGACGCAACACACACACGCACACAACCCCCTCTCACCCCCCCCCCCCCGCCCCCACCACTCCAATTTCTGCCAGGCAACCCAGGTCGCGCTTGCAGTCAGTTACGAACACCTCAGAAAGCGTTCAGCACTTCCCTTTGAGGTCCTCGCGATTGAAAATTCCTCGCTCCTACCTGCAGCCTATGGGTACACAAAAAGCGGCAAGCCAGCACGGAAGGCGCGTAGACTCTTCCCCCTTAAGCAGTTCCAGGCTCAAGACCAAATGCGGTCATGGGCGGTCCATTCCAACTCGCCAGTTTGGGGATGAGTTGATTCATCCCCATCGATTTCTGGTTGGGATTTCCCATGGATTCTATATTCCCTAAGAGACAAAACGGTCTGCGGTTCCGCGTCCGCCCTGGCAATCCCTGAGGCAATCCCTGAGGTTTTCAGGGCCCCGGCGCGGCGCCAGCGGCTCATCTTCCAGGCACGCTGGATCCGGCAGGCGGAGTGGTGCTCCGGGTGGAGCTTCGGCACCTGGAGCTCCGATCGCTCGGCGCTGCGGCTCGCGCGGTTTGGAGGTGAAGCGGGGTGGAAGGGGTGTAGTTCCATCCCATCCCGGAGACAGGGCTTACAATGTCCAGAGGAGTATGGGCCAGAAACCAAGAGAGCACATCCAAAAAGTTAGCCGTGAAAGGGCTTCAAACAATTTGGCCTCCAGCGTTCTCGAAAGGAGGCAGCAAACCAGAAAAAGCAGCCAACTGATTAGTCGAAACGCGCTCTGCTCCTTTCACCAACCTGCTTTTGATGTGTTTTTCTTTCGGTAGGGCGGTCTTTTTTGGGGGAGAGATCATTGGTCATTGGCCGCAAGCTTCGGCGCGGACAAGAAAGCAGTTGCGGGGGGGGGGGGGAGGGGGTTGGCCAAAACGACGGGCTCTCGCAGACCAAATCCGGCCAAGGGCAGAGCCAGCTGCTTCTTCTTCCGGATCTCCATTAAAATATCTGAGAAGACCTGCGAGGGCTCACGAAAGCTACAAAGAAGGGTCAGAATCAGAAGAAGATGAGATTATATGACAACCAATTCTAAGCAGCACTGGAACCACACAAGGAAGAAACGAAACGGGACCACATTCAGAACTGCCACCCCATCATCAGAATAAAGCCCAAGTCAAGCTTGCTTTCTCCGGCGCCCGTGCCTGGGTGAAGCTCTCTTTGTCCACCTTTTTGCCCATCCTGTGCCACAACAATTGCTGCAGCCATCCCCCTGGGTCCAAAGTGTCATCCTCAAAATACACGGTCGTCCAGAAGAAGTTGGAATTGTCTGAGACTTGGAAAGCAGAACTAGGGGAGCCCCTCGGCATCTTTACGGATTGCGGCCGACCTCATGCGCCTCCGCCGCCAAGCGCGCTGGATCCTCACACAACGACCCTCGGGTTGCGACATGGAGGTAGCATGGACTCTAGAAAACGGTTTGGATGTGGCGAATCTGTGGAACCACTGCTGGGTATTAAAACGAGTACTAAAAGAGTACAAAAAAAAAGAAACTACAGGGGGAAGAACAGGTGAAATCCACAAAAGCGCATCCAGACCGTTTTCTAGCTGGTAGTTGGCTTCGACCCTCTGATATGGCCTGCCAGCAGCCACTGCAGAAGGGCTATAGCCTGGTCGGGACTCACTTGTGTGACAACGTGAGTCAAACGCCAAGTCCGCAACATCGGATGCCTCCGGATCAACCAATTGGGGCGGTGTTCCCCAAACAAAACAAATGAGGTTTCCCTTGTTCGGATTGCGCTGCCCCCCGCACCCATCCCCCTGAATCAACCAGGGCGTTCTTCTCAGGTCATTCCTGAGCCGCGAGCCTTTCAAGTACGCCCGTGCGATCGTTCCATCGATGCTCAGCGCAATCCCCGGAGGGGCCAGGCCCGGTGGGGCTGCCAGCTCCGCCGTGTCCGGCTCGGCCGCGACGCCAGGCTCGGGGCGTGGCTCGGGGCGCGTTTCTGGGAGTGGCCGAGCCACTTCTTTGGGCTTCGGCACGGCCGCCTGCCATTGTGAAAGCTCCAATGAGAATCTGCATCGCGGCAACGCGCCTGCGAAGGCATGTGCCCGTTCACATGCTTCAATCCAGCTTGGGCGCTTTGCCTGTGCCCATGACCGACTCAAGCAAAGCGGCATACTCAAAATGACGCTCTTATAAGGCAACTACCTAACTACCTGTGCCAACTTACTCTCTTTTCTTGGCTGAAAAGGTCTACACCCATATGTGAAAATAAGGAATCGACCCCTCTGAGGTCGCAACGAATCCTGCTCTGGTTTCCCAAATAGGTTTTCTTCCGGAAGAAAAGGACACGTTGGTTTTATTGCCATTTTTGGGATCTTTGTCAGGGTCAAGGGAGTTCACTGTAGACTTGCGCCTTTGGATCTGCTGCTTTGTGCCTCAGACTGGGCCGCTAAAACACACAGCCCAAAACCAAAACCGCCATGAACGCAAGCCAATTAGTATGGTTTTCCAGATGAATATGAGATTGACATGAGGCTCGTTGAGCCAACATCGATTTGGCGACGGCAAAGCATGGTGACGACGCCCGTACAGGACCTTGCGTTTTCAGCACGCAACCCCGACCGCTGCAACCGCCAAATGCGATTTCACCTCAAACAGTCAAATTCAGGCGGCGGCAAATTCCTCACAGTGGTGTTGTCGTTTGGGACCTGATATGCGTTTCGCCTAGACAATGTCACGTTTTCTGAAGGAACTAGCAAGACGAAACTTTGTGATTTCGCAGACGCCAAATGAAGCCGTGTGTGTGTGTGGAAATGCATGCACTTATCATTTAGCAGGCGTAGATGCAATGCTGGGCTGTTGCGGGGGCGTGCTTGTCATCGGGGGCGTGCTTATCATCTGGCAGGCATGGATGCAGTGCGAGACGTTGCGCGGAGAGGTGAAGTTGTTGGTCAGAACATGTAAAATGTCAAAAATGGCCAAGCATGTAAAATGGCACAGGCTGAAAATGGCTGAAAACACTGGGTCCTGTACAGGCGTCCCCGCGACCGGCTTGACCCTTCGATTTCAAGGTGTCTCGGAATTACACAGTTGAGCAACCTCTGTCATCCAACCTGCGCTCACGCGACTCAGCGCCAGGCTTTCGATCTGCTGCATCAAGGAGTTCTGCAGGCGTGTGACTTGCCGCAGGATCACCTGGCCGGACTGAGCTTCTTGGATCGTACAGAAAGGCTCTCCCAGCGTTCAAATGGAACCTGGCGGGAGTTCAGGATCCTCCTAGGGGCCCTCTGGTGGGTTCCATGTTACTTGGCGGGAAGGTACATAGAGGTTTGCTTCCACTCATCATGTTGATGGTGTAGGGTGGTTGCTGTTAAGATGTTAAGATTCATGGCCATGCATAGCAGGGAAACCTTCGAAACGCGCTTCAGCAAAATGGCACGAGTTCTCGAGTGCTTTCTTTTACTTCTTTGTTTTCGTGTGTTTCTTTGGCTGCCGGGGGTGGGAGGGGGGAGGGGGTTGTCACTTGGGTACCCACTTCGATTGCGTTCGCCACCTCTAAATGTGGGCAAACAATTTTAAACTTGTTTGTTTGTGCTTCAAACTTGTTGAGCTTGTCAATTCTGACCAAGCCGCTTACCAAGGCAAGTATCCCTTCTGCCTCATCTGGCTGCTCCGCAGCTGCATGCACTGGAATGGGCATGGGATTTGCCTCAATTTCGGAGCTCTTCCGAGTCGCGCCGACCTTGCCTGCATCCCCTATCACCAACCGGAACGCCCAGTCCAGTCCAGTTCCATCTTAGTTGGTGATCCGTGATCTGGGCGGCTGGCTCGCAACGTCGGCGCCTGATACACAAATGCAACACCGCATGCCTTTCACACCAGGCGCTTCATGCGTCATTCGAGCCGAAGCAACCATTGGCCATCCAAGCCCCGCACGCCAGCCGCCAGAACAGACCTCAGGCGCCAGGAACACAACGAGCCAGTCACACCGTCACACCAGGCTCGCGCGAATGGCTGGGCTGAAGCCGGTGCACAGGGGCAACCTGAGTCTCGCAGCACCCGTCACTGCGCTCCAAGTGTGATCCGCGTCTTCTCTATGGGACTTTTCCACCCCCACCAGAATTGCATTCTGGGCTCCCATTGCCCCTGGGCGTGTCACTGCCGATGCGCCTTTTGGAAAGGTCGCCCCACCTCGGTACAGTATGCTGCAATTCCTCACTCACCATCCACCTTCCTGGTTCCAAAAAAAGTACCCCAGGGCACCCCGAATAGAAAATACGCCCAGGCCCAGGCATCCCCAACTCCCACCACCGGAACCTTCCGAAACCCCACTAACACTCAGCCGCTCCAAACCAGTCTTGGGCCTATCTGTATCTGGGCATCCCCTGGGTCACCTCACGGTGCACCTCTCAGGCTAGAGCTGATTCTGCGAGCTGAAGAGAAGGGGAGGGATGAAGAGTCTGACCTAGCAAGCAGGTCAAAACCGCGTAGGCAACTGAGGATGTGTGTGGCTTGTCAAAAGAAAGGATCCCTTTTTAGAACCCCCTCCAAAGGCAACACAAAATCACACCAGAGCCCCCACAATCAAGCCAGGCACATCTGAATCGGGTCCAAAAAGAGTGCCTGCCTTTTTGGACACCCTCTCATGTAGCTGGGAGCGCGGCGTAGCGCTCGACACTTGCCGCGCTGGTCCGGTACCGCCTGGCAACATACAACTGCCCCTTCAAGTACACAAATATTGAAGGTTTCGCAGAATTATTTTTGAAGGCATGGCTTACCTTTTAACCACCATCTAGAGGATTTAGAAGGGAAATGCTGGATATGTCACTGCAATCATGGCCGAATGGATCGAATCCAAGCGCATGGCCTCCTGAAATCTGGACCTTGCTTCAGGTCGCTGTGCAATGAGTACACGGAATCACCACGTCTCTAAGCCCCCTGCGTGGGCAGAGCTCCGATCAGCGCTGCCTCGAGAGCGCTTGCCAACATGCCACATGAGCAGCGGAGCATGGCCCTGAAATAGGTTTGCTTAGGTCTGATGCTGGCACGGACAGCTGAAGGCCAAGCAGCCTCGGTCAACGCTCCAGTCATTCCAAGCGTACCATGGGGACAAAAAGCAACCGACCTTGTCTGCATGTGGTTATGTCGTTTCCCCACCCGACAGGTTTGAGGTTGAAAGACTCTGAGTGACATATGCCAACAAGCCACACACCTCGGCAGCGTCCCCTCTGACCACGACAGCTGCTACAGATCTGACCCTGACGACTGTGACCGACCACCTGTGACCACCTGTGACCATGATAGCTGTGGCAGAGTTTGCCCAGGATAGCTGTGACAGACCAGACTCTGCTGGTGGACAGACAGCTTCTGAAGCCCCCCTCCCGACACAGCTATGGCAGACGAGACCTCCTGCCATGGGCCCAACCCGACAACAAATAGGCACTTCGAGGGTACCCTTTTTACGGTTGCCTTACAGGAACATCCAAGCCCGTTTTGGGAACCCAGTCCTCCTATGTGGGGACGAAGCCATCTGTGCGATGGCAGATCTAAGGCACCAGCTGTCTGGACATGGTTGAATGTTTGTCGCACAGACGGTGGCCTTTGTGCAAACGAGAGTAGGAAGTGCAACATGATCCTGCACGCCATGGCCTCTCATCAAACATTGCACCATTCAAGGGACAAGGCACCCTTTTGAATGGCGCCGTGCAGCGCGAGTCTTCGTCCAAGGGAAAAGGAAGGACACAGTTCAGCTGTTGAGCCTCTAAGAAATGTACCTGTAGTTTGGCTGTGGTGCTCACATCCAGTACTCAATCAACTGATGGCTGCCCATCAACGTCACTTTACATATGCATGCATTTATATAGGGACAGAGTCTAAGGAAGGAGTCAACCTATCTTGAAATACTGTCGCGTGTGTTTCCCTTTTGCGTGCGTCTAAATCGCACGGCGGTTGTACGCAGCACGTCTGACGCGGTGAGACCGCGAGGCCCCGGCGCCCGACACGATAGGCCAGGACGCAAGGACGGTCCTGATGCCACAGTGCCTCAGGATGCGAGCTGACATGTTGCAAAAAACATGGTGGATGGGCAACATTAGGTATCAGAAAGTGGCTCGACGTCGCCAAAAGAACCCTTGCCCGGCTTCTGCTTGTCTTATGGATCTCGCCTCGGAATGGAGCCGCAGGTTCTCGGTCAGACCTGTCGCCGTCTGACTCATCCAGCCAACACTCGAACACAAGCTGAGGGTTCTGCGGAGCGGCACCTTGACAAAAATGCCGGCCCACAGAAAGCAAGCACACGGCGCAATTTCTCCGGAGTTTCAACACCCCGTTTCCCGACTACTTACCGAGCAGGAAGTTCTGCCATCTACTTTTGCCCTGGTGTAAGATGGACAAATCGTTTCCAGCTGCGTGGTTGCATTGTCCCAAGCGCTGAACCAAGTTGTCGAGACTGGGGAGTTGCATTTCCAGGCCTCGATTCAGTGCGGTTCGCTCTTTCAGCAGACGGAAGCATGGCTTGGCTCTCCACACATTGGCGCTGATCTGTGTCTCTGGCACACGGCCTGCGGATTACCGGGAATGTGGAGGGCTGCTGGCAATCATGCACGATTTCAACCCTTAGCAAAATGCCTCGCATAACCATGGGGCTGGCGCGTGGGCTTGCCTGCCCGGCTACAACTGGATTGGCATTCTAAGACTATGCTAAGACATGCAGACTGATTGCGCACAGCCTGGTAGCTCAGGTTCACTTGCATAGGCGGTGGCGAACGAGCACGGCCCCCAAAGGAAACCTGGTGTCCAGTGCAAACAAGTTGCCTTTGCGACGGCCTAGCCAACCAAACTTGCAAGGAGAATAAGGCTCACGCTTGTGACAGGTCACACCTGTCATGCCATCTTTGTCTTTGGCGCCGCTGTCACGTTGCGTGTGCTAGGTACCGCACATAGACTTGGTGTTGCGTGCGATGGTCACCATTCCACCGTTCACAGCATAGCCGGGCAGCATTGCCCGGAAACCTGGGTAGAGTATCGAGTGGAGCCTTGCAAAACCCCCTTCAGTAGAAACACGTTCTCCACACGACATCTTAACAACATCTGAATGGCCGGCACTGGCTGTAGCCACTCCCAACTACTTTTGCGCCCACACACACACACACATATATATATATATATATATATGTGTGTGTGTGTATTATGTATATGAAAACACACCTAACAAATGGCCTCCAAAATGCATGGGAAGGGCAAAATTCGTATTAAATCTTTCTGGGGGGGGATTCGAGTTCCCCCCGAACGGTTCACAGCGCTTCAAGGGCATCGACAACTTAGGAGTGCGCTCATTGTTAGAATGTGTGGTTCCGGAACCACGGGCATGCAGAGCGAACTTTAGCGAGTCCGCTACTTGTGTTTTGTTGGTCTTTCAGATTGTCCCCCATGTCCTCACCAAATGAAGACTGCACAAGCTCATATGGCTTTTTTGTTCCGGGATTGTCTTTCTTTGATGCACATATCGGCGCCACTTTTAACGGGAAGCGAAAGCAACACCACTCATAGTGCTCCCCTATTTGTAGGCGAACCACCGTGTCTCTGTCTCCTCTCCCTGAGGATCCCCGGCCCACCGCCGGGCTTTGAGTGATCACTCGGCTGGCAGGTCTCCCGGGCCTGAATCGAGCTCGCGCGGGTCTGGGGTGGACCACTCCTAGCAACCGGAAACCGCGGCTTTTGGGCCACATCAGGTCAGCACGACGCAAGGGGGATGTTCGCCCCCGCCATGCGGACCGCACTCCTGACAAATCAGAGAAACAAGCACGCAAACACACACGCACACACACACACACACAAAGAAAACATATGCGAGCATATGTGTATATATATATATATGTGTGTGTGTACCATGTACCTGCAAATCTATGAGTATATACATCCATATACACATGCCCGCATACATTCACCCCGCTTCCCCACCATCCAGCCTTTCGAAGCCAGCACCACAAAGCCAGCTAGCAAGGCACAAAAATGCCTCGTTTGAGCCACTCAACTCGCAAAGCGGCAAGCGCCTGGCTCTCATGTTTTGAGCACACAATCCTTCACCTTTCGTTAAGGAGTCGAAATGTGTACCCATATGCCAGCTGTTGAGCCCTTCTGCAAGACCAACTCACACCACTTGGCCTTTTTTGCTTAGACCACCAGGTCTATATCTGGTCTATGAAATGCTTGTGAAAGCTGTGGACGCACTTTGGCATCCATAACGACTAGCACTCGCAGGAGTCATTCTCAAAACCTGGTCTTCAAGAAGTCTACCCAATGTAAAGAGTCCAAAGGCGGAAATAGGGATCAAATGCATCTACTCTGTTTTCTGGCATTGGGGGATGTCCACAATTCTGACCTACGGATACCCGAGGTGGTTTTGAGTACGGCTCACAACTCTCCTCTGGACGAGTAACTGCATTACAAGTCTTCACGACCCTTCCTTTTAGAAGGCTCACTGCTACTCTCCTAGCAGAGCGATGGGGAAATGGAACCTCCTTTGAACACGTCAGAAATGCATGGTTGGTGTTAACTCCTTGCACCATTGAGGAGGTTCACACCACCAAAACTCAAGACCTTGCCTGATGCACGAAAGCAAGTAAAGAATGCTGACAGCATGTTTCTCCTCCAGATCATCGTCATCTTCGAGCTCGAAATCAAACAACCGTCCATCGCTGGAACCACATATGTCCACATCCCAGCCTGGATGTCAAGTCTAAAGTGCAGTGGCGCCCCAACTGACAGGCTAAAAGCCAAAGCACTCTTGCCTGGGAAATGTTCAAAAGGAGCCTTCTTAAGGTTCTTCTCAGCGATCGCAACCCTTCTGAGAGATTCGGGCCTGCTGGTCTTTCCAACTGAGGCTGCAACAAAATGCCGCGATATCTTCGCCCAGGGTCAAGGCCTCGGAGATCCGTCCAGTTGCGACAACAAGTGCTCGGACGACCCCGAAGAACCAGGGGGCCGTGAAACATTTTTCACATCTATGACACCCAGTGGACCATACCAAGATCCAGAAGTGCTTCTGATTCCGCCAGGGCTCACCTGAAACAATCGGGCCCCGGCATCAATCAATCCGTCGCCGAAGTTCTCCAGCACGTCTTCACACTCGTAGTGCAACTTGGCTTAAGGGCATTCTACTCAGATGGATCCCAACCAAAATTCCCCCCAGAAAATGGTCTTCCAAGAATTCCCAGTGAGGTTCCTTGTTCCTGAAGTAAGGGATGCACAGGCGTAAATCTCGGCACGGTGCTCCAGATGGACAAGGCTCCCATTGCCACACCCGGCCCAGTCACGTGAGCGTGACATCCGAGCACGGGGCAGTTGGATGGTGCAGCGCGTAGCCTTTGGGATTGGGAAGCTGCGCCAGGACGTTCCTGCGGGATGGGTTTCCTGGACTCCCGGGGCTTTTTGCCCGGCGTATGGAGGACATATGAGTCACTTGCTCAAAACCGATCGGTACAAAAATGGCGAACCCGGAACCATGTAAGGAATTAAGAAGGCCGATATCTGCAACTATTTCCGGCTGGGACCCCTCACTAACCTTCATCTACCCGGGTTGTGATTGTGGCTCATATGAGGAATCCTGCACTTATATTGAAACGCCCAAGAGAATCCGGCTGATTCATCCGCGGTCGAATGCTTTGGCCCAGGCCTATTGCATACCTTCTTCGAAACAACCTCCAACACCATCGCTTCCGGTGCCTGCCAGCACGTTCTGCCACAAAGTCGCACTTTAGTAACCCTTTCCCCCGGCAAGCATGAAAGTGGACACAGGGCCGGGCTTTTCCAGGTGGTGGCTCCAAAACCCGTCCAAATCTGCCATAGCTGGAACAAGGAATACCTTTGCAGCCACCGCCTTGCCCTGAGAACCTGCGCCAATGTAGTGATAAGGACCTGGACGGCTCCGCGCGAGCTACAGACAAAAGCGAACGAGAAACGTGAGGCTCGGGCTGCCCGGTTTCGTGGTTTTTGCCTGTCGCCAAACCTTCGAACGAGGATGTAGCATCACATCCGTGCGCGCAAAGAAACACATACTCAAACACATGCATACTCAAAGAAATGCACACAAACACCTGCACACACACACACAGACTGAAAAAAACTGCGAGCGCCAGACCTGCACTCCTTCGAAAGCAAGCTTTTGGCCTGGAATGCATCAGCAAACGCACACTGCTGGAATCTCAAACGCATCTGGGGCCGCTACAGATCGCACATCTTTGTCCACTCCGTCCCTCATCCCCACGTCTGTGCCTTATCAGGCACAATCGAAAAGGATAGCTTCTTTCCCTCTCTCTTGGGAAAAGAGAATGGCTTGTGAGCTCAGGGCACCGGCCCCGCTCCCTTTCCGGACGATGGAGTCCACAGCATGACTGAGAGGCAACTGCCAAGGGAATCGTACATGTGCTTGGGGCGCCGTACGCTCCGCGAGAAGGTATGCGAAAAAGAACCCCTGCAGTCTTGAGCAAGTTCATTTCGAGCCTTGCCATAACAGCGCAGACGCCAGCGGCGTCAGCACGGCACTGCGGGCCATGGCCATGCCATGCCAAGCGATGCGCCAATGGGCCAAGCGATGCGAGCTGAGCTGGGAAAGTGGATGAGGTTGATTGGCTGCCCGCGATTTCTGTAACTTGGACTTTGAAGCAAGCATGGCTTGTGCGAAACGTCCGTTCCAAAATAGTCGAGCCTTGATTGACCATACACGATCGCTGTCAAGGCAGTGGATCGTAGGTACGTCGAATATGTCGGTATCCTGGCGTGCGCCTGTCGAGTTACCTTCAGCCAAGAAAAAAGCATGCCGGGCATGCCGCGACGCCATTCACTTGTTCACATGGTCACGAAAAATTGCCATTCTTGTGACGCCAAGTGAGCAATTGCCACGACTGCTTTGTCGCTTTCAAGGTGGATCCACAGAAAGCTCCCCTGTCCCATACCTATGCTTTTGCAGGCTTGGAGTCACTCTGAGCCCTTCTTTCCACAGTCTTTGTGAATCCAGCATTGCTTCGGCTGGAGCCAAGTGTGCCCATCACTGTACAATGCAGCATGCGTTGGGATCATTCTCGGCATTGACATGATCCCGCATCCCTTCGATCGCTGGCTCCGATGGCGATGGCTGCTTTGGCTCAGACGTCACCGGCTCTGTGGCCTGTGTGGCTGGAGTCTGCTGTGCAAGCTGCTCGGGCCTTGGCATCAAGCGAAGCAAAGCCATGTCAGCAGCGAAAAAAGAAGCAACCAAATTCTGTTCAAACATCTTTCTGCACTGAATAATTGCCTAGCATGTGTTCGGAACAGTGTACTCACGTCTGAGTGCACGCGCACTAACTACATGCACAACTTGCATTGTGTATGCATCAAACTGATACAAGCATGTATTTGCGCAAATCACTCACTAGAGAGTTAACAAGCCCTTAAAAACAAAGCAGACATTGATCTTGGGCTTAATCGCTCGCATGACCCCCGAATCGGTGAGCAGTGAACCTCGGCTGGGCCCGGCACTCTCTCGGCGCTGGCACCTCAGGTGCTGGCTGCGCCGCTTCTTCCAAGGCGGCTTTGCGCTGCGCAAGCCTCCTAGCAAGCAACTGTCAGAACCGCACAAAACAGCGGTGGAAGAAAAGAGGTGTCTGGAGCCCCCAAAACGGGCCATTTTCCAAAGCGGCGGATTCAGAGGGGAACTTCCCCCAAAATCCAAGAGCCTCTGCTTAGTGGGAACCCTGTGCAGTCCTGATCTGAGCCCCGGCTCACATGACTTTTTTCCCTAAGAGGACTTTTATTACCAGGCGTCGTCCTCTTTTCCCGGCGCTATCCTGAGGCCTGCAGCACCGCATCCCCCGGGAGCAACACACAGGTAGGGTTGCTTGCGGAACATTTGGGGTGAGTTTTTTCGTGGTCTAAACTAATAATACAGTACCAGGAACGTCATTTGGCCTGGCTTCCCTCACAGGGTGTGACGAGTCCGTCCTCTGCAGCTCGCTCTCCGGCTTCGGCGCCCTGAGCAGATCCAGGCGCTCCGCCGCCTCCGCGCGGCGCCTTTGCATCTCGGCGCGCTCCGCCTCGTTGAGCACCTCGCTCGACCGGTCTCCCTCCAAAACGAGTGCGTTGGAGCCGACTTTCGGTGGCTTCGTGGTGAAATGGAGAGGCTTCCCATGCTCAAACCCTCTAGAAACACCAATCACTTCTTCGCGGCCTTCCCGGGAGGAAGAAAAAATGGACCACTGAATAATTTCATTTGAACCTCTCAGGGGGCTATAGGGTTGGGCGACTCAACTCCTGCTTAAACATGCTTAAAAACACTCTGTGCTCATAACAACGTTTCAACCACCAAACTGTACAAACAATCTTCTTTTGGATCCTTTTAAAGGGGACGTCGCTGGTCGTTCAAACAAAATGCGCAACCAGCCCGTCAGGGACTCGTCTCCAACCCCCCCCCCCGGATCTGAGGCCGGAGCTTTCGTCTGCAGCTCCGCTTGGCGCTTCAGGTCCTGCAACTGCCGCTGCCCGGAGGCCATTCCTCAGACATCGGTGAAAGTGGCTCCGGGGACGCCGCTGTTTTGGAGTTTGATGTTTGCTTGCGGGGGTGAGAATGGATCCGGGCGAACTGCGTCGGCGAAGCCTTGAAGGGGGTCTTCGCGAACAAATTTTCATTAGGGGCTTTTCTCCACCGGAGATCTTTAACCAGGGGCACAAGGAACAGTGCCATCTTTCCAGGCTTGTCAAGAACCCCCCTGTCAGCTTCCATGCTTGTTGGAAAACCCCGCTTGTGGAGTGTTGACTGGAGAGTTCTCTTCCAGGCACCTTCCTGTAGGCGCTATGTTAGCGCAGGAAGGGCAAAGGACTAGAAACAACAGTGTGCTGAACAAAGTTCGCTTCAAGAGGAAAACACCTGGTCAACTCTGTTGAAAAAGTCACAAAACGTTTCCTGGAACCTCAAACCCGTTCCCGCAGCGGGCGGGGTGCAGCTAAGCATCGCATCGGAAGAACCTCCCCGGCATCTGCAGGCCCCGCCGGAAGAATCATGGCGCGTCACGTCAAAAGCGGAAACTACCCACCAACGAAAAGTGCCTGCAGGTTGAGAGGACTAGGGGGGTAGTTCCTGCTTTGTGTGACGCCTGAACGTAAATGGGAAAATGCTGCCAGTGCTATCACGCAAGTGGAAGTTCCCAAAGTCTGAACAGGACCTGTGATCCAACAACCGACTCGCCGCAACTGGTAGCTTCCGCGTTTTGTGAAACAGAGCGGCTGCAGTAGTGATTCGGAAATGTGACTCTACTTTTGCGTGAGAAAGGCGCATGACTTGGAAAGCGCAACTCCCAAACCTTCTTGAGCTGTCGAATAACAATGCAAACTGGCCGTCAAATAGTTGTGCAGAATGCCTTTTAATCAATCTGACGTTGTTCGCCAGCATGTGGCTACAGCTTGTGCATAAAATGACCGGCCTGGTGCCAGCCACTGAAGAGACAAGCGTTAGTTTCTAACGAGATGACTGCAGGGCATATGCCGCTTTCCGGCGCTTCTCGCCGAACATCAGATCCGCCTCCTCCAGCTCCCGCTCTTTCTGCAGCTTGGCAGTCAACTGAGCCTTGCCGAGCACGGAGATGTCCAACACCGACGGCGCCGCTCGGCCCGAAAACCTGCCGCCCTCAACATGCAAGAAGAGGC